CTATATGCCTCTTAGACTCTGTTACCTACATGATCTCTGATTGGAGTGAGAATTGAATCGATTTTGTGTTGTTGTGCTTTATAGAACTCTAGCTAATGGTTTAAGAGTAACCTTTTCTTAACAAAGTTTTAAAATTGGGACTTTCTTGTCTCTCGTATTTTCTCTGGAATGTGGTTGTTGAAGTGAAACATAAAGAGTCGTCTTTTCTATGAGTGTGTGTGAGATTGCAGATGCACTTGCTTAGAAGTCTTCTTAGTTGTATTTGTGTATAGCTTTGGTTTGTGGTGTTGATTGGTGGTATTGTTTTATCATTTGATGTTTCGTGGGAGTATGTTGATACTAGTACCACGCTTTTGTAAGAAAGTGAGAGTTCATCACTTGATTTCCACTTTTGATATTTGCCACATTGTCATCTTGTGTAACTTAAAGCCAACTCCTTGTATAGTCTCTACCAAGCTTGATGTCACTCATGTTGCTTGAACCGTTATTTGTCTTAAGTTGTAATGAATCTGAACTGCAAGCTTTTTGCTTTAGTATGTGGTGTCTGAGTGTTACTATAGCTCCCTTGTTGATTTACTTTGCTTGATCTTATCTTAAGGTTTTGATCGGTGCTTGATTCTTTGTGAGAATGATAAGGTGTGATGCAAGCTGCTGTTGTTCTTGAAGTTCTTCACGGAGCTATAGGTAACTCTTTGATGTTTGTGATTTGATTGGGATGATTGAGTTATGAATTGAAACTCTGATTTGTTAATTGATTGATTCTACTCAGTTTCAAATTTGATAAGGTGGTACTTATGTATATGGTTATAGGAGTTTGATGTGTTAATTTTCTTTCCCTCTTCTCGTGATGTATTTCAGGGACATGTTATGTCAAGGTATATGTTCAGAATGATGCTAAACAAGAAACTTGCAATGGAGGAGGAAAGTTATCAAGTTGCTTAGCTAAGTTGCTTACCAAAATAAACTCCTAAAATACCATTATTATATAATTAAGCAACCCATAATGATGCTCTAGGATAATGGTGCTCTTACCCCCCTCATTCTCTTCCTTTTGCAACACTATCTTGTGCCAAACTAATACATCATTCCTCCATCAAATTCGACATCTCATTCTTCCTTATAATGTTGAATTTGTGCTTTATGTTCTTGTCAACCATTTTGATTAACAAACCTGCTGGCTAGGGAGACTCCCATGTCTTCTCCGATTCATTTCCCTCCAAATAGTATATTGTATAGCTAATTGGAATACATATCTTACAGTAAACAGCTTTAGTTTACTTAGAGTATGATCCATAATTAGCCTGATCATGCTTCTCTAATTCACAGTGTACTAGTATATGACCCATAGTCTCTAATCGTTCTTGACATAACATACATAAATGATCAACATTCCCATTCCAGTACTGTCTCATTCTTTCACCTGTTGAAAGTCGTTCATGCATTGCAATCCACATCATAAGAGAATATTTGGGTGTTGCATATTTGAACCACACAGTTGATGCTTATCTCTGATAAGTTGTCAAGTTTTCTCTCAAAGAGAAAACTTTCTTATACACTCTTTTCCCGTTCATCCACATAGATTAATCAACATTTATAATAGTATTATATAAAATATTCTTGATAGTGATGTAATAGTAGACGGAAGAAAACTGTAAATATTATCTTCGAGTTATTAGATAAAAAAATTGTTTAAAATAAAATAGATCCAACAATAGTTAAAAAAAAGTAAATTAATTGCTTGCAATATCTGAAAATTTGCTAGTCTCTACACCAGACCAAACCAAACCCGGTTGGATGATCCATGATTGCAAATTGGTATCGAGAAACATCGTACCGAGTCGGAAGAACCGCGAAAGTAACCCTAAGCTTGGGAGTGATTGGGAGGCACAAGCCAGCAATGGAGATAAGCTGCTTACGTCACACGTGGCGTCTCCTTGGATCTTCAGAGCTCCTCTGTTTCAAAAAAAGAGTCTAGATTTTTATTAATTTTTGTATCTTGCTTGATGGTCAAGAAAGACTAATAAGGAAGAAAAAGATTGAAGATTTGACTTTCTCTCACCAGAAAGGTCGTTTCTTTACCAGCCCACTTCGTTTCCTTCCTCATAGTAACCTGTTTAGATGATCTTGAGTGATGTAGTTTCTCATAAAGTATATGTTAGTGTTTCTCAAATGTTTGTGTGGAAATGCTTGAACCAATATGTTGTATAAAGAGATCTTTTGTTATATGAACTTTCTTAGGAAGAAAAACTCAAGGTGTTGTCAAGGCCTCAGCTCGAGTTGATAAGTTCTCGAGAAGTAAAGTTAGCTCTCGTCATGTTTGTTCATTGATCAGTCTCAGACCAAGACCTTAGTTCATGTGTTTCCCTGTCTCTGGTCTTTTTGAAGATTCTTGTCTCTCATTTTGTTTTTGATACATATTGGAGTTTGATTGAGCAAGGATTAGAGAAGCTTTTGCTGAGATTGGACATCAACCTCCTTAGCCAAAAGGCGCTCTAGACTCATTGTCTTTGCTAACTCAGAGATTTGGTAGAAGAAGAGCTGGTGACATGAAGGTACAACAACAAAAGATACTCATTAATTTTTCTTTTTTACCTCTTTGTTATGAGTTTCCTGTGTGCTTTTGTTTCTGCAGATGGCTACTTTGGCTACATATTTCGGACTCGGCAAGCAAACGCATAGGTATGTCAAAAACCATAAGCATTTTTGGAATCTAATTCACACTATCAAAAGCTGTTTGAGCCTTTAATTCTTTGTAATCTTCTTCAGGAGCCTTGAAGATGTTAGAATGAATCTTAGGGTCTCAAGTATTGTGCCACTGTCTTGTTCTTGGTTATGTTCTCTTTAGTGAATTGAAGAATCTTTGTCTCCTTATGACCATGAGGGATTCTTGGCGCCTGATGAGATATCTGTTCCAAACATCCAAGCAATTCTTGTCCCTCATGGAAGCCAACAACATATGAAGCTAACGCTACTCCATGGCGATTCCCCTCTGCAGCTCTACTATTCTTGTCTGCAAATAAGGTTCGGAATCATTGGTAAGTTTCTACACAACGCCGGGAGACAGAGACTAAACTTCGTGTTTGATCTGTATCCAAGCCTATTCAGTACATTCGAAGTATGTGGCAGTAATGCACGCAAACTCTCTGTTGATTCGGGCTCCACTTCTGAGTGGTACACGATGGTGAGTCCAGTGAAAGGATTTGTAAACTACTACCCTACCGCAAGGATACAATAAGTTACACCTCTCTCCCTCTTTTAGGTTCTTCTTGCTCTGATTAGTTTCTTTCTTGGTTTATGCAGGAGGATACCGATAGATATAAATGGAGATGTAGTAGCTCGGTATGCAATAGAGGTAGTACACCAGAGAGATTCCTCTGAAGATAATATACTCAGAAGCTAATCTTCAGCAACCCTATCGCTGAGGAGCTTGAATCATTGCTGAACCCGGGAAGTGTCGTCTGATGCATTCCTGTCTCTGGAACCGTATATGATTATCAGCAGAGAGCTAGTGTCCATCTCGTTGCAAAAAAAATTAGTAATGCACTCGTAAAATCATTACATAATTGTTAATACCATTAAAAAAAAGTAAAAGAAACTGGAGGTTAGTGAATGTATGAATACACACACAGAGACTCTGTATTCATGTAGTTGAGACTATGTACATAAAAGTTTGAAATAAATGCAATCAATCTCTACATCAATTTGTTCAAGTAACTTTCACTGTAATTTCAAAGAAAGGGAAGTTCATGCGGTGGATTAGAACTGGTAAAAAAGTCTACGTCTTGTCTTATTTAAGAGAGATTGAAACTGTAAGAATTTTACATAGAAACAGAGTGTGACTAGCGAAAGAATATAAAACAAGAAACAAAAGAATCAAGTAAAAAAGAAGCTAAAAGAGTTTTTGAATTGTGATGAATAATCATCATCTTCTTGAAACGATCTCCTTGTGGTGTTTTATCAGTAACTCATTCATTTGAGCAACCTGATGCAATAGCTGAACTATCCTCTGTGCCAAAAAAAAAAAACAAAAAATTATGTAAGTCACACATCTCTCTTAGACATTTCATCGAACACTTCGTAAGCACAAAAAATAAACCTAAAACAGAATTACACACCTCGTCTCTCTCTTTGATCGCATCTCGAAGACGACCCGTGGCTTCTCCATTAACACGTCTCCGACGAGCTCGTACACGCATCCACCACCAAACCGCAACGCCAATAACCGGATAAAACGTCCTCACAGTCGCCGAGAGCCACGTCATCAAATTCTTGAACTTGGAGTAAACACGAACGAGAAGAAGCTCCCACCAACGCTGAATCACATCATCAGCTTCACGGTACAACACTCTCCTCGGAGGCGGTGGAGACTCTCCTCCTCGTTTAAAGCCTGCCAAAGGCGGAGATTCGAATTTCTCTTCATTTTCTGACGCAGTGAGTGGAGGTTGTGCGTCTGAGTCAGAAGGGAAGGAGGAGAAAGAGGAAGCAGAGCCTCTGGAGGAAGATGAAGGTGATTCGGATTCGGATGGAGATTCGAGGAATCTGTTATCGAATTCGGAGATTGAAGAAGGGAGATTCTCGTGGTTGATTGGTGGGAAGACGAGGTGGTCGTGTTTGGCGAAGATTGGTGAGTCTCTGATGACAATCATTGACGAAATTGGATCCATGGGATCAATTAGGTCGTGTTGTTGACAGAACAGAGTGTCGTCTTCGGCCATTTTAGGTTTGGATTTGAGCTGTTAGGGTTAGGTTACGAGAGAAGAAGAAGAAGAAGCCAATCCATGAAAGTTTCAAACTTTGGGATCCAAGAACACGAGATTTGTGTTCTGTTTGCTTATTCGTTGGTTTACTTTTTTTTTTTTTTTTTTAATTTGACATCACATTCACACGTGCCGTATAACACTCTTCTTCTTGTGTGTTATGCTGTATATAATTAGTTTTTAATGATCAGATATTCAGAGTTAATTAAACAAGCTAATTAAACAAGGTGTTACAATGATGCAGATTAGAGAAAAGACAAGACTACGCAGTTTCTACACCAAGAGGATTTAAATTCTCGGAGAAGGTGAATGACACTCTTATTCTCAGGCTATGCAGTTTCTAATGACGAATTATACAGATTAGAAAAAAGATTTACAAGAAATCTTTAGCATGGCGCAAGTCGTACCGTCAAAAATAGATCTCGGCTCAAGTTCAAGATGATGCAATTAGACGTGAATCCACTTAAGATAGATAGAATTATCGGCTATAGTATCATCTATGTAGTAGTTCTCATAATTATTTTGAAATGAAGAATTAACCATTATTAAAAAAAAAATTAAACAAGAAGAAGTTAGTATGCACTTGTTATTTTTATCAGGTGGCTCGAGCTTGGTCACAGGTGCTTTTAAAGAACATTTACATTGTGATAGATACAAAGTTACACACTAAATCTCACTCTCTCTCTCTCTACCTGAAACCTATACAACATTTCAATCTATCAAAACTTCCCTCTAAAAAAATATCAAATAATTCTAATTTACAAGTTAGAATTAATCAATGTGTCAGTCATGTAACGTGATATAGTTGAGGAAAGACCTGCCTCTAATCTTCTAATAGTTCCCTCGACAGCCCCACCCTGGCTATCGAGCTCTCCCATTAGGACCCGATCGTGTTATAACCGCCCTGTGCTACTCTGTGGAAAGGTTACATGAACAGCACCACGTCTCTGCTGGCATTCAAAACCCATCTTGGTTTTGCTTGAGAGATTAAAAGGCGGATTTAAGGTTTTTTTCGGTCAGCTATCAACATCATCATCATCTGCTGTTTTTGTCAACTTGACTTCTTTAGCCTTCTCCTTCTCCATTTCAGCTTCCTTAGCGGCTTTCTCTTTCTCCATTTCCGCTTCCTTAGCGGCTTTCTTCTTCTCCATTTCCTCTTGCTTTATATTCTCTTCGTGTGCTTTCTTAAACAGCCTTATAAAATTTAACAAGGTCGCGGTAACTGCACCAATCCATCAACAGGCAATGTTATTAGCTATATGATTACAATACTTTATAGTGTATTGCACAAAACGAGATTATATTCCGCGGCAAACCTTGTTCAAATGGACAACGCTTGGGATCCTCGCCAAAATAGTGTGCAAGTGCATCAGCATTAGTTCCCTGTCCATTACATCAAAACACCATTTCAGGATCAAACATCATGTCAAATGTAAGAGCTTAGGGATTTAGTAGAGGTTGGCAAATTACCACCACCGAGTAAAGACTAGTTACAGTTGCCACTTCGGTCGTGGCTACGGAAATGAAGTCTTTCAATGTCTGTCATAAAAAAAAAAACACAAAACTAAGTTTTAAGATCCACAAGTGATTAAGTCAAATGATTATTTGATTAATCTCAAATTCATGCTTGATCACATTAAAAAAAAATCAACATACTTTGCGGAAAACTTCTGAAACAGGACCATCACTCTCGGAAGCAGTGAGCTCCTGGTTCAGTTTTTCCAACCCTTTGATTATAGCTTGCATTTCCTCAGCCAGCGACTTCAATTGTATCTAAAATCAACAGGAAAATCAAATGATGAGCCCACTTAACAACTAAGGAGTAGAGGACGGTATAAAGCACAAAACGCAAACCTTCGAAGCTGATTCAAGACTTTCAAGATCCTTAGGGAAGTCCAGTAGATCTGATCCCTTGGAAGCAAGGACCTAGACAAAAGAAAAAGGAGAGTTTCAAGATTATGGTATCCTTCCTTCCTGAGTCAAACTTAACAACCCTCAATAGAATCTAGATGCTGTTTTTTTTTTTTGAGATTGTACTTTACCTTGCAAAGATAGTGCATGAGAGTCATCTTGCTGTTAGCAGCACGTGTATCGCTTAATTTTGATAAACTATCCAACTTGAATCCCACTGCAGCGCCTGCAGAAAGCAGAACAAGTGTTCTATCAACCACAAAGGTTATGCATTCAGACAAAACAGGTATATGATGTTGCCAATCAAATGCATCATTCTTGGACCAAGCTCACATTTAACAGATAAATTTTTTACTGTGTTGCGTTAGGATTAAAATAATATTTACCCCTCGCAGTTCCTTGGTTCAATGTGTTCCCCAGGTAAAGAATCTTTTTCATAATTTCTTTAAGCTTTGGTGAAGTACGGACCTGATGAAACAATCAACGAGGAGAAAATGTTTAAGAAAGAGACATACAAAAACTTAAGAGTTATTTCTTGCAAGCATCTGACCTCCTCACAAGCAGAATTGACAGCATTTAAACTTTTTTTGAATTCTATTATCTGCACAAAATTCAAAAGACCAATAATTTACATCTATAAAGACACTGATGAACCTCAAGCTTTTGTCTCAATCTGATGTACAAAAGTTAACAGGAATAACACCGGACCTGGGTACGAAACTGAATCTTGAAGCAAAATACTCTCATCTTCGATTCTACTCGTGGCACCTTCATTAGCTCTAGGAAGTACTGTGGTAACAAAATGGATGAAGACTCATTAGCTAAGTAAACTGTTAAAACTATTTTATAGTAAGAAACAAAGATTGGCAATCTCAAGATTTTAACAGACCTGCTCACACTTTCCCAAGGTTGCCTTGTCACCAGTGTAGTTCTACAGCAAAACAGTCAATTACAACCAAGATTCAGGACTCGATTTTCAAGTGATAACCAAAAATATATTTTACAAAAGGCATCCAAAATAAAGAGACAAGTCACGTAACCTTTAGAAGTTCCATCTCTTCCTTGGTTGGACAAAACTTTATAAGATTCTCTATTTGATCACTATCTAGTACAGTATCATCCATTGCCAGAACTGCAGCCTGGATGAAGCAAAAAAAAAAACTGTGAACAAATCTCATGTTATAAGATTAATGACTTGTACTCAACTAAGTAGGTATACAAGCTTACCATCAAATCAGGCAGCGGCATCTTTACTTTCGTAAGCATAATTTCCGTGTTATTGGCTCTCCTAAGGTCAATCTGGCAACCATAAGAAAAAACTTAAATCAAACAAGAAATGCAGGTAGTACTCAGTTAGCAGGCATATCATAGGTACATGACAATAGTCTCCATCAGAAAAAAAAGATTATCTGGCAATAACCAAGTATCTAGAATATTCAACATTACCAGTTGAACTTTTTCAGGCTTTGCCCCAGCCGGTTTTTTTCGACCTCCAGCTTTATCAACGGGTTTTGGCACTATAGCAGAGAAGAGGGTCTCTATTTCTGATACATCAAATTCTGGTGCGCTGACAGAAACAAAGCAAAAAAAAATGGTGATTAATTGCAAATGATCCCAATAACTCAGAGCAATGCAAAGATAAGTTAGTCCAATACGTTTGTCCTTGTCTCTGTAACTCGTCCCACAAGCTTCCCTGCAAGGCTCTTGTTACTTTAACCCAGTGTAATGGCTTCAGAGAAGACTTTTTTTGAGCTGCAGATCCCAAACCTGGACGTGCAAGACCACGCCCTCTTCCTGCACCCTTAAGATCTGGAGGTCCAGGAGGTCCACCACCAGGAGGTCTTGGTCCAGGAGGCGGAGGAGGTCCACCACCTGGAGGTCTTGGCCCAGGAGGCGGAGGTGGACCAGGAGCACGACCACCTGGAGGTGGTGGAGGCGGAGGTCCCCCAGAAACTCTACCACCAGGAGGCGGTGGTGGCGGTGGGGCTCCTCCACCCATAGGAGGAGGTGGAGGCGGTGGAGCTCCTCCACGCATTGGAGGAGGTGGAGGTGGTGGGGCTCCTCCACCCATAGGAGGAGGTGGAGGTGGTGGAGCTCCTCCACGCATTGGAGGAGGTGGTGGTGGCGGGGCTCCTCCATGCATCGGAGGAGGTGGTGGAGGTGGAGCACCCATTGGTGGAGGAGGTGGAGGCGGTGGCCCCCCAGATCTAAATGGTGGAGGTGGTGGAGGAGGAGGACCACTAGAGCTAAATGGAGGAGGTGGTGGAGGCGGAGGACCACTAGAGCTAAATGGAGGAGGTGGTGGTGGCGGAGGACCACTAGAGCTAAATGGAGGAGGTGGTGGAGGCGGAGGACCACTAGAGCTAAATGGAGGAGGTGGTGGTGGCGGGGGAGCACTAGAGCTAAATGGAGGAGGTGGTGGTGGCGGGGGAGCACTAGAGCTAAATGGAGGAGGTGGTGGTGGCGGGGGAGCACTAGAGCTAAATGGAGGAGGAGGTGGTGGAGGACCGCTAGAGCTAAATGGAGGAGGTGGTGGTGGCGGAGGACCACTAGAGCTAAATGGAGGTGGTGGTGGTGGCGGAGGCAGAGTTTTACCAAAAGAAGGGGGTGGTGGAGGAGTTCCATAACTCGGTGGTTGTGGAGGAGGTGGTGGAGGAGTTCCATAACTCGGTGGTTGTGGAGGAGGTGGTGGAGGAGTTCCATAACTCGGTGGTTGTGGAGGAGGTGGAGGTGGAGTTCCATAACTCGGTGGTTGTGGAGTTCCATAGCTTGGTGGTTGTGGAGGAGGTGGAGGTGGAGATCCATAACTTGGAGGGGGAGGGAGAGGGACTGAATGCGCTTTACTTAAAGGAGGTGGAGGAGCAGAAAAACCGTTGATAGGAGAGGACTTGGGTGATGGCGAAGGTGCATTACTCAAATAAGGCAGCTGGGAAGGAGTAACGTGATCTCCATTTTCTTTTGGTGTATTTGATGAGCTAAAAGGAGGAGGAGGAGGTGGCGGGGGTGTTAAATTGTAAGATGTAGAGAATGCCTCATGAGTTTCAAGAGTTGAACTATACACAGACTTCCACGGTGGTGGAGGTGGTGGAGGGGGCAACATGGTTTCACTGTTTCGCCTAACAGATGCAAAAGGAGGTGGTGGTGGAGGAGGCGGTGGCAAGGGCAGCTGAGATGTTTGAGAGTGGCTGCTGGTTTGTGGTGGTGGAGTATGTTGAGAAGTCGAGCATGTCGTAGGAGTTGCCAAAGCTGAGGCATACACAGACTTCCAAGGTGGAGATACTGGCAGTGGAGGCAACCTGGTTCCAATTTTTGGTTTCTCAGATGCCAAAGGAGGAGGAAGAGGTGGTGGAGGCAACATGGTTCCACCGTTTGGTCTCTCAGAGGCAAATGGAGGAGGTGGTGGTGGTGGTGGTTGTGGGATCCTAGATGTTTGAGTGTTGCTGTCATTTTGGCTCGGTGATGAGTAAGTAGGCAGTGGAGGTGGCTGCGGAGGTGGAGGAGGTGATGCAGCTGCTTGTGAAGAATCTAAAACTGATGCAGCATCACTGGTTAGAGAATATAGCTCCGGAGATGAAGGTGAATACCGAGGTGGTCGAGGCGCATGATGTGGAGAGACAGGCAGAGAAGGCCGCTTTTCCTTTGGGCTAGAATCTGGTGATAAGCAAATAGGAGCTCGACTCCTCATATCTGGTGAAGAAACAGACGCTCTCAGACCTTTAGTCTTAGCATCCTTTGGAGCCACACCATCAGGTGACGTAGCTCTTTTACCATCCTTGAGAGAAGTGGTAACTGAAGCAGGAGCACTGCTAATCCTTGTCCGTGGATACGCCACATGCATAGATTCTTTATATGAGCCTTTATTTGAAGGAATCCATCGAGAAACTGCATTAGGCTTAGCCATTCTTACATTAGCCCCCTGAGCTTCTTGCTGCTTAGACTTTGGTTTCAGTGCATTTGCTCCGACCTGTTTCCTTGGTGTAGCTTTTGTTTTTTCAGATATGGGATTGTCGAGATTTGTATCTGTTTTCTGAGATGTAGTCTCTAAATCATTCCCTTCTCCATCACCTTTGTCTTGCGTCTCTGCTGTTGCAGAATCACTTTCCTTTGCTTCCATAGTCATCCTCTTTCGCTGCTCATCACCATCGTCTATTCCAATATCCTTCACTGAGTCAATATTACCATCTGCGTTCCCATCTGACCTATACTGCACATCATCAACAGTGATATCTTTGACTGTATCCGTGCTAGTACGCAGATCATGTTTATGATTTGAATCATCAGATGCACAATCAAGAAACGCATTGGGTTCCACATCCCCCTTCCACACCTCTTTACCCTCAGAATCATCTGAAGCCGTATCAACAACCACAAAACTATCCGAGTCTCTCTTCACGTCATGCCCATCAACCACATCGCTAAAAATCTCCTCCACCTCATAAAACTCATCAGGTGAAGCCATATCAAAATCGTCCTCATCTTCTGACGCTGGAGTTGTTGTGATAGCAGGCACCACAGCATCAGCGCCAGAAAAAAGTACCTGCATACATATATGAGTACGCATTCAAACTTAACAGCCTCATTTTAACGGATAAGGAGACAAAAATTACACAAAAGCCTTACCTCTGCCTTAAATTCCTTTGGGAACTGGTCCTTGGCGTCCCAAAGTATATCCATCTCATCACGTTGTACAATTAAGATATTAGCACGTACAAATGCTGTGTGGAACATGATTCTAAAGACCATCTCCTCACCAACCAAATCATCATGCAAGTGTATACATTCCAGAACAATATCCCCTTGAACACGGCACTGGATATCTAACTTCACCAGAATACACTCTTCCTGCAGATAAGAAGCATTTAACTTGTATAATAAATCACTAAACGAACTCCTAAACTTTAATTCTTCCTGTATTAATGTTTCTAACTAGCATGTAATATATGTGGAAACCTACACCTGTTTTGTACATATATGTAACAAAGATAAATGGTCTGAAGAGTACCTGTTGGTAAAGGCGAGTGTGTTTCTTAGTCTTTGGTGTGGAAAAGAGAGTTACGGAAGTCCTATTGGCTTTGGATTTAGGGTCCTGACCATAAACTCTTACAATTGGTCTGCAACCTTCTCTCCCTTCAAAATGAGGAAGATCTCTAAGAATCAAACAATCCAGAAGAAGAGGCGTGTCCGAAGGAGGCCAAGCAGAGCCTAGATCTCTTCTAGAAATGTACTGAAGATATCTAAGCTGAGAAGGCTGCGGATTTAAAGGAGACAATAGATGAAGAAGCTCCTTGGGAGCTTGCTTGTGTACCATCTCAAGAGTCTTCTGCTCACCCTGATACTGCTTTCTATACAACAACAGCCCTGACAACATGAAAGCAAGAACAGGCCAGCCACCTCTTTCGCAATGCATCAACAGAACATTTTGTTGACCTTCCAATGATAACCAGCTTTCGCTGGATTTTAAAAAGTGATGGATCATCTCGAGTGGTAAAAGCGGACAACTCTCATACTGCCGAGGATAATCCATAACCGTCATGTCGTATTGGGACAACACGTCTGATATTTGACTCCGCTGATCTCCTTCTCTGAAGTTAAACACCATGAAGGACGCATCAGGGAAATGATCCTGTAGCTGAGCAACGATGCCACCTAAATAAAGTTTGTAATCATCCTCTCCCATAACATCACTCGAGAAACAACAGTCAAAAACTGCAAAGAAGAATATGAGAGACAAAAAAAAATCGTCAAGCTCTGGAATTGTTTTCACTATACGGAAGTGCAATGTAGCAACTCAAACAAATTAAAACAAAAAAAAAAACTTGTCAAAGAACCGAACATAAAAAGAAACCATGGTTTTGGTTCGTGTCATATACGACAAAGATTAAAGCGTTGTCGTTAAAAAGAGATTCTGATTCTCCTAAACCTCCATAAAGTTCAAAGAAGAATATGAGACACACAAGCTCCGGAACTGTTATATAACTATACGGAAGTGCAATGTAAGCAGCTCAAACATAACAAAACAAAAAATAACTTTTCAAAGAATCATTCTGTCCAGACATAAAAAGAAACCATGGTTTAGGTTCGTGTCATAAACAACAAAGATGAAGATTCTGATTCTCCTAAACCTCTATAAAGTTCAAAGCTTTTACAAAGCCTAAGAGATACAACGAAATCAAACAGCCACAAACCCTCCACACCATCCAGAAGCTCGTAACAACCCAAAAATTCCAAAAATCTCTTTTTTTTTTCTCGAAACAAATGTATAGAAAGGAGGGCAAAATGGGAATGTTACCATAAAGACGCTCTGAGATCTCGAGAAGATGATCAGGAGGCTTTTTATAGAAGAAGCGACGGAACAGCGCCATCTTGTGGCGCTGTCTCTTCTCCGATCAGATCCAAACCGTCGATTTTTTTAACAAACTAATAATCCGATCATCATCATCATCATCATCCCAACCTCAAATTCCGTTGACCTAAACCCCAGATCTCTTTCTTCTTCCCCAATTCTGATCACAAACCCTAATTTCACCCCAATTGTTGACGAAATTCACAAAATTAGAAACCCTAATTGCAGAATTTATCTTCCTTTACTCCACAGATAATCCAATTTCGAAAGCTACGTACAATGCAAAAAAAAAGTCCAGAATAGTTTGGGAAAATTGAATCGGTCAATGTAACAATGGTGGAAGTCTTCTATGACGTGGGAACGAAGGAATGGTTGGAAGGTGATGAAATTAGTTAGGAGGGGGAAGTGAGAGAGTGAGATGAAGAATTTCAGGTGAAAGGAAGGAGAAAGATGAAGGAGGAGAAAGAGATTTGAATGAAGAGAAAAATCTTCCAGCAGTTCTTTTTTTTTTTTTTCTCGAGAAAATATTTTTATTCATAATTAGATTGTATTTAATTATAGCAACAAGTTTTGATTTTTTCAGATGAATATTTCCCCGACACACGACCATTCTCTAGGTTGTTTGTCTAATCCGACGTGGAAATGTAAAAAACCAAAATAATCATAATTACAACCACGGTGTATTTTTTTTTTCTAAATCCCTAACATTATTGTTTAATTCAATTTTACATTTCTATAATGATCATTATGATAATAGAGCTGGTTCTGGATTAAACCTGTTGAAACATTTGTTTCATCTCGAAAATTTTGAAAAAATTATATATATATATATATATATATATATATAGACTTTCAGAAAAAATTGTAGATCCCTAAATTAATTAAAAAAGTAGTTTTCTCTGAATTTCTCTGTTTGATAATAGTAATACGTTATGAATAGTTTACATTTTTTGATGATGTAAAAATACTTTAGTTTTAGATCATAAAAATACTTTAATAAAGGGAATTGTCTTTTCTTATCCATGTAAAAGGGAATATCTTTCTTTATCAAAAACGACAATAAGAGGTAGGGAAACATACATTCAAACTTGTCCTCTGCAAATAAGATTGCATCCGCACGCATTTTTGCATATAATATTACAACTATCTTCTCCCAAGTATACGAAAGAAAAATAATCTTAATTTTTAGGCAAACAATAATAGCTTTTAATGATACAAACATAATGATAACGACGATGGTGGTGGGTGAGAAAACAAATTTCAAAAGCTGATAAAGGCCCAGAACATGTGAAGGTTTCCATCAAGAGAGCCTAGCCACACATTCTGATGATGTCTTTTTACACAGGAATCTATTTGTTTAATCAACAGACACACATTGATAAGAGTTTGGGCTAACTTTACTAATGGGCCTTTGGACTTTTATGGCTTTGTCACTAACGGAGTCACGTGACTTTATTCAATTAGATCACGTGTCCCTTCGTCTCTTTCTTCATTTTTTTTTAAACTTGACCAGATGTTCCCGGGTTTTTTTTTTAAATAATGAATTCTTGAAAGTATTATTCAAAGAACCTTAACCAACACGTAATCACGATCTTTATTTGTTTATTAAATAAATCGTTTGTAAATCAATATCTGATTAAAAAAAGAAAAGAAAAGAAAAGGTTTCCTCGTGGGTTGGAAAAACTCTGAACAGCAGGATCAGTCTTGAGATTTTGGGGACCCTAGCCAATTTTTTTAAAAAATTCAACTAAAATTCGTTTTAACTAATTTGGAGGCCTAAAAAATTCTTTTGGGACGTATGTACATATAATTTTTTTAAAAAATTCGGAGGATTACAGCAAATGTTTCAACGGACTTGGTCCATGATCGATCTTGCTGAACAACCCTTCTCCAAAGTCAACTGTGCTTACAGAACTCTATGTGATGATCCATGAGGTTGACTTAGGAAAAGTTGAACTACAACGGTGAAGAAGGCAATGTTACGGTTTATTTACTTCTCTTGGTCTCTCTACTACTACTAGATCGTCTATTTGGTTCTTGATTCAATGTCGTTGTTCCGACGATTTATCTACAAAAAACCTCCGGATTGTCTTCTAGAGATCTCAGACCGTGTCTACGGTATAAACACGTTACAAACTACTTATCAAATCATTTCATTAATGCATCTCTTGTTTTATTCTTCTTCTTCTTCGTTTTGTCTTTTCAGTTTTTAACCGATGTTTATCAAACGATGTCATGGAATTAGATGAGTACACAGCATACTTAGTTGGTGTAGCATCACAGCTGCAAGATCATTTCCCAGAAGCTTCTTCTTCTGTCTTGGTATCTAATTTTGGAGAACAACGAAGTCAAATATCAGATGTGTTGTCTCACTACAACATAACTGTAATGAATTATCCTTGTCACTACAAGAGTTGTCCACTTTTACCTCTCCAAATTATCCATCACTTCTTAAAATTGAGCGAAAGCTGGTTATCATTTGGAGATCAACGAAATGTCCTGATCTTGCATTGTGAAAGAGGAGCTTGGCCTCTTCTTGCTTTTATGTTGTCAGGGCTGTTGTTGTATAGAAAGCAGTATCAAAGCGTGGAGAAGACTCTTGAGTTGGTGTATAAGCAGGCTTCTGAGGAGCTTCTTCATGTATCGTCTCTTTTAAACCCGTATCCTTCTCAACTAAGATATCTTGAATACATTTCTAGAAGAAAATTGGATTCTGATTGTCTTCCTGTAGACACACCTCTTCTTTTGGATTGTTTGGTTCTCAGAGGTCTCCCTAGTTGTGAAGGTAGAGAAGGTTGTAGACCAGTTTTAAGAGTTTATGTTCAAGACCCTAGAAACCGTTCCATACTTGTCTTCTCTACACCAAAGACAAAGGAACACACTCACTTGTACCAACAGGTACTCGTGACATAATAATTTGCCACATCTCTTGTTCAAATTCTTGTTACACCAGCTAAATGCTTCTCTAGTGAAATTTGATAATGCTCATTAAGGTGATCTTTTATCTGTGCAGGAAGAGTGTATCCTGGTGAGATTAGATATACAGTGCTATATTCAAGGGGATGTTGTTATAGAATGTATACACTTGCATGATGATTTGGTGCGTGAGGAGATGATCTTTAGAGTCATGTTCCACACAGCCTTTGTAAGTGGTAATGTTTTAGCTGTCCAAGAAGATGAGATGGATATACGTTGGGATGTTAAGGACCAGTTTCCAAAGGAATTTAAGGCAGAGGTAAGGTCCATTGTGTACATTTTTTTTCTTCTGGTCATACGTTAAATGAGGCTGTTGAGTTTGAATGCATACTCATATACGTGTCAGGTACATTTTTCTGGTGGTGATGCTGTGGTGCCTACTATCAGCAAAGTCCCAGTATCAGATGCATCATCTGATGAATTTGTTGAGGTGGAGGAGATCTTTAGCAATGTTATTCATGCAGAGACTAGCACAGATCCTCCTCCACTGTATGGGCTCTCACCTCCTCTTCCTACTGGTGTTAGAGAGCATGGGGCACCACCACCTCCGCCTCCTCCCCCTCCCCTGAAGCCTGGGAAAACCCCACCGGCTTCTCATAGTAGAGGGAGTAGAGTGGGGACACCTCCACCACCTTCTGGTGGACCAAAACCTTTGGGTGGTGGATATATTCCACCTCCAATTTTTGGTGCTGCAGTTGATCCCAAGGGTGCACAAAGAAGATGTGGCCTTCTAAGTCCAATGTATGGACCTGGAGGAGCCCCACCGCCACCACCACCTCTTCCTCCTCCAATGAAGCGTGGAAAACCCTCACAGCCTCCTGGTGGTCATGCACGAAGAAGGCATTGCCTTCCACGATCTCTTCGTTTAGTGGTAATTGCCATATCCGAACTTCTGATCAAAGCTTTGCTCATCTAGTTATACAAAGAAAAGTGGTAGAAAAGATTGCAATAATTTTCCAGGAGTCTAAGTACTACCCACACATCTTTAAAATTCGGTTGACGAGCTATTTCCTCACAAAAACTATCATATCACATCAGATGTCTCCTGAACTATGACCTCGTTCTATATAAATCCCCGAAGAGATAGTTTCAGATTTAACTTAAATAACCATATCTCCTTTCCTTGCAATTATCCCAATTGCATCTTTGTTTGCTTCTGTGATTCAATAATGCACTTGTTCTGATTTATGATTGTTCTCTAGGTTTTCCGGATTGAGCTTAGCAGAGCTTGTGACATAGAAACTATGCTTACGAAACTACATATGCCACTGCCTGATATGATAGTAAGCTTTACCTGAGTAAAATACATTTCCGTGTTAATCTTTTAACAGTTTACTGATACTTATTCACATTCTTTGTCTGCTTCTATCCAGGCTGCAGTTCTTGCAATGGATGAAACTGTACTAGATCTTGAACAAATAGACAATCTTATAAAGTTTTGTCCAAACGAAGAGGAGAGGGGGTTTCTTAAGGTTACCTCATGACTTCCTTATACTTTTGAAATTTGTTTTGCACATTTTCTTCTTGATTATCATTATTCACTTGTTCTTGGTTGTAATTGACTGGTTTGTTGTAGCACTACAATGAACCTTGCGTGGGAGACATTGAGAAGGTCTGTTTTAAGTTTAGGCTCTCCTACTATAACTTATAACTGTTTTTTTTTTAATTTTCTACTTATGGTAGTGTGTTCTTCTGTCATCAATTTTTGTTAATGCAGTACTTTCTAGAGCTAATGAAGGTTCCTCGAGTAGAGTCAAAGCTTCGAGTATTTTCTTTCAAGATCCAATTCGGCCCTATGGTCCGGTTCTATTACTTATACTTTTTTTTTCTGTCTAAATGATTTTTAGAAAGACGGTTTCACTAGTGTCTGAAACTGTAGAATACTGGTCCTAATGTGCAGATAACAGAATTCAAGAACAGATTAAATACTGTAAACTCTGCATGCGAGGAGGTAAGATGCTTTGCAATAGTTGACTTGATTTTTTGTACAGTTCATATGCATTTCTCTTTATTGCTTGTTCCTACATTATCAGGTGTTTGCTTCACAAAAGCTTAAACAAGTTATGAAAGAGATTATATACCTGAAAGACACAATAAACCAAGAAACTACAATTGGTAAAAACTTAATATATTATTTTTATGCTACTTCACATTTTGTTTTTTTTTTGCACAAGGCATTTCCTAATGATGCAAACATTTTTTGTGATTGATACCTTGGCCTGCTCTCTACAGACACTGCCGTTGGATTCAAATTGGATAGTTTCATAAAATTAAGTGAAACACATGCTACTAACAGCAACATGACTCTAGTGCATTATCTTTGCAAATTGCAAGGTAAAACTACAACCAAAGAAACAAAATCTAGTTTTTATTTATTTACTTAGAAAGATATGTAATAGTCCTGAAACTCTTCTCTTTGCTTAATCCAGGAGCTTGCTTATAAGGCACCGGTTCTACTAGAACTCCACATGGATCTTGAAAGTATTGAATCAGCTTCAAAGGTTTGCGTTTTGTGCATTTTTCCTTCTTCTATTCCCTGGTTTGTAACTTGGCTCATCAGCTTTGTCCTTGACAACATTTCAGATAAGTTTGAAGTCTCTGGCTGAGGAAATGCAAACTATAATCCAGGGGGTGGAGAAACTGAACCAGGAGCTCATTGCATCTGAAAGTGATGGTCCTGTTTCTAAAGTTTTCTGTAAAGTATGTTTTAAGATTTAGTTCCATAACTGCACCAAAATCGTTAGATCTTTTTAACTGGTCCTAAAACCATATTTTTATGTTTCTTGATGACAGACATTGAAAGACTTCATTCCTATTGTTGAGACTGAAGTAGCATCTGTTTTGAGTCTTTACTCGGCCTCGGTAAGTTAGCAAGCTCTACATTTGGCAATGTGCTTGATTGATCATGAAACCGTAATTTTTTTTTTGTTGATTGGACAGGAAAGAAATGTTGATGCACTTTTGGTTTATTTTGGTGAAGATCCTTCCCTTTGTTCATTTGAACAAGGTACGTGGGAATTTAATAAACTAACATCTTCCATTGGTGCAATGCTTTTCGTTCTTTCTTTATCAAATGATCGATTTTTTTTTTTGCTGCAGTTACGGCAACACTCTTGAGTTTCATAAGGTTGTTTAAGAAAGCACACGAAGAGAACATTAAGCAAGGAAGTGGAAATGGAGAGGTGACTATATTCACTTGAGACCACATGCCTCTTCGTCTCTCTCCTCTCGATTCATTATGCTCAAGTTATACATTCCAAATGTTCATGTTCCAACTTCAAAAGAAAAAAGATATTGAGAAATATAAATTATGGATTTGTGGGCGTATGTTTATGGGCTTGTGTACATACCTAGTTAGGGTTTTTTTTTTTTAATTTAGAAAGCGTTAAGAAAAAAACATATATTACCAGAATTTAGACAGAAATTTTTTAGATATGTTACACCCCAACCTACCTTCAACTATGGATAAAGGAGCTTCACCTCTTCCTCCTCAGCCTCCTGGTGTTAGAGAACATGGGACACCGCCACCTCAGCCTCCTCCCCTTCCTCCTCCCATGAAGCGTGGAATAACCAAACTGGTTCTTCCAAGTGGTCATGCACGAAGAAAGCGTTGCCTTCCTTTAGATCCAATGTATGGATCAAACCCTGAAAAATTTGGACTGGTAATTGCCATATCCTTGACTTGTGGTCAAAGCTTTTTGCTCATATAGTTAAATAATTTGCAAAATAACTATGTACCAAGAGACTCTTGGACATGGTGCAACATAGACCAAGAGGGACTCAATAAGCTTACTCAGCATCATTTCTCTTCCCTGCAGTTATCCCAGATTGATCTTAGGAGAGCCCTTAACCTAGAAATTATGCTCACAAAACTACATATGCCGCTGGTAAAAAGTCATTGCTGGTTTAATCTTTTAACAGTTTTACTGATAAGTATTCACAGTTTTCTATTGCTTCATCCAGGCTGTAGTTCTTGCACTGGATGAAACTGTACTAGATGTTGATCAAATAGAAAATCTTATAAAATTTTGCCCAACCAAGGTGGAGATGGAGCTTCTTGAGGTTACCTCTTTGTAGCATTAGTTAATTTTGTGTTTATTCTTGAAAAAAATTCTTCTTAATTATCATTATTGATGACTTTTTCTTGGTTGTAATGTACTGGTTTGTTGTAGAACTACCCTGGTGACAAGGCAGCCTTGGGAATCTGTGTTTTAAGTCTAGGTTCCTACTATAACTCCAGCTATTTTTTTTGTAACTTATGTTAATGTGTGTTTTCTATGTCATCAATTTTTAGTACTTCCTAGAGCTAATGAAGGTGCCAAGAATAGAGTCAAAGCTTAGAGTTTTTTCTTACAAGAGCCAATTCGGCTCTATGGTCTGGTTCTATTCCTTTTACTGTTTTTTTTTTCTTTTAAAAAAATCTTTGGATGACACAGTTTCATTTCACTTATTGGTCCTATTGTTAACGATGTTAGATAACAGAATTAAAGAAAAGTTTAAGTACTATAATATCTGCGTGTGAAGAGGTAAGATGTTTGCAATAATATGACTCAGAATTTTGGTAGAGACCATATTCATTTTCTCTTTATTTACTTTGTTCATCATCCATCAGGTATTTGCTTCACAAAAGTTAAAAGAAGTTATGAAAGAGATTATGTACCTGGAAAACACATTAATAAATCAAGAAAATACAATTAGTAAGTTAATAATATCATGTACTTATTCTGTCTGGACGCAAACTCTTTTGTGGTTGATGATGTTACCTTGGTCTGCTTTCTGCAGATGCTGCTGCGGTTGGGTTCAAGCTGAAAAGTTTCTTAAAATTAAAAAATACACATGGTACTAACAGTAACATGTCTCTAATGCATTATCTTTGCAAGGTAAACTCCTAATCTCTGGAGGGATATAATAATAATAATAATCTTGAAATTCTCTTCTTCTTTTTTATCCAGGAACTTGCTGCTAAGGCACCGGTTCTACTTGACTTTTATAAGGATCTTGAAAGTCTTGAATCAGCTTCAGAGGTATGCGTTTGTGTGTATTGGTTGTAATGGGCTCATCATCAGTTTTATTATCCTGACTATTTCAGATAACATTGGAGTCTCTAGTTAAGAAAATGCAAGCGATAGATAAGGGGTTGAACAAAGTTGAAAAAGAGCTCGTTGCATCTGAAAGTGATGGTCCTGTTTCTGAAGTCTTCCGTAAAGTATGTTTTTTTTAGCTATCAATAATCAAAGAATTATGAGATAATTAGTTTCATTAACTGTTTTAAAAACTGAGTTTTGTGTGTGTGTTTATGATGGCAGACATTGAAGGAGTTCTTTCCAATTGCTGAGAAATGAATTGATAATGCTGTCAAGACTTTACATGCTCACTGTAAGTTGTCAAACTCCATGCTCCTCCGTAGATTTAGGCAATGTGCTTGATGATATCATGAAACGGTATGTTTTTTTGTTTTGTTGATGGGACAGGGAAGAAAAGTTGATGCACTTTTGGTTTATTTTGGTGAAAATCCTAACCGTTGTCCATTTGAACAAGGTACGTTGGAATATAATAAAACTACATCTTCCTTAGAAGACAAGTCATCCTTAATTTTTTCTTATCGATTTTTTGGTGCAGTTATTAGAACACTCTTCAGTTTTATAAACTCGTTTAAGAAAGCACACGAAGACAACATTAAGCAAGAGTTAGAGAATGAGAAAGCCTCTAAGGAAGTGTTGGCTTTAAATTCTTGATCATCTTTCTTCTGGACAAGAAAAGACTCTATGACATTGCTACTAGATTTCATGTGTGGTTTGGTTTGGTTTAATAGATTGACCCGGTTAGACCGGATGGTTTGTGTTGGTTTATTTTTAATGATTTTTTAATATTACAACAAATGAGGATTGGGTTGCTGCTGGATCTAAATCTTTTAAACTTATAATTAAAAAATGTAATGAAAAGGAAAAAGAGAATAATATTCAGAGACTTGGAGAAGAGAGAAAGACATTAAAGGTAAGAAAAAGACAAAGAGGAAGAAGAATCAGAAGAAGACGGAAAGAGTTGAAAAGACTTAAAAAAATCTCTTTCTCTTTTGTTGTTGGAGTGTTCTTTTCTCTCTCAAGCTCTTCCATGTTTCGCTTCTCCTGTAAGTTCTCTTTGTTTTTTCCTGAAAAATCCTCCATTTTTCTCTTTCTCTTTCTTTGTACAAAGATAAATGACACATCAGATCTCTAATACACACTTCTAACTTCATCACAACTGAAAAAAAATCAAAATCACTGTTCTCTTTTAGTTGTATTTACACTTTCTCTTTGCATTTTCCCGAGAAAATAAAAAGAAGCTTTTTTTTCTTCTCTGTTTTCTCAGCAGCTTGTTGAAGTAAAGAAGGTTAAGTCGAATCTCAGGAAAAAAAAACTGTTCCTTTGTTCTTTTTTTTATTATAAAGGTAGATCCTTTTTTCTCTCGTTTTGATTTTTTTTTTGTTTTCACTTTACTGATAAGGTTCCTCTGTTTATTCCTCTGTTCATCATCTGTTACCTAGGAATCTAACTCTCAAGTTTTCACCTTTTTGCTTAGTTTCTTCTGTGTTTACAATGTTTTGTTTCATCTCGTTTCATTGCTGCTTTTAGAAAGCTTTATCTTCAACCACTTTTTGAAACCTCTAGGAAAAGAAGAAAGTGTTGTTATCAGTTTTCAATTATCTTTACTCTTTAAGGCAGCTTTAGTATAGTTTTATTTTAAACTCATCCTACACATATTCTGTTTGCAAGTTTTTGTTGGTAAAGAGATGAATCAAAGAACATTTGATGAGATGTTGTGTTATTATTTACTTTGTACAACTTCATAAGATTTGACTTATTCCTCTTTTTTTTTTGGTGAACAGAGATCTTTTGGTTAGAAGAGTGTGAAGTGAATGAAAGATGCAGCACAACAGCTTTTACATGGGGTACAATCACTTAAACCGTGACATTGGTACGGATGCAAGAACCGGCTATCGTTTGTATCCTGTTCAAGACATTGATTCGGTCTTAACCAATGGATATGGATCAAATGTGAATGTTGATGATGAAGATAGGCTCTCTGCATTGTATGGTGATCTTTATCTTAGACAGTTGAAGGAAACACTGAAGCACACCATGCTTATACATGAATCTGTTTTTGAAAGCCAGGTTCGTTTTCCTGATGAAAATGCTTTAAGTCTTGTGTCTTGAGTGATTGATGTTTGATGTTTCATCCAAGTTTATTCTTCTTTTTTTTTCTCTTATTTTAGATCCAAGAGCTTCATCGTTTGTATCAAAGGCAGAAGGAACTGATGATGGAAATGGAGGGAACTCGTAATACAACTCACTGGCTGAGCTCAAGCGTCTCCATGTATCAAACTAGGAGTCTTCCTTATGAAGAAAACATTCCTAAGCAAGTTGAATCTCTAGAAAATGTCAAGAAGTCTGAAAAGATGGTCTTGGATCTTGATTTACCGGTTCTTGAGTGTCATGATGGAGATGAAGAGACAATTTTGATGAATGGTGAAGTCCATGAAGTTGCAAATAAGCTGCAATTTGATTTGAATGAACCGGCTGAGATTGAGGAACAATATCAGTTCCTGAGTCCAGTTGCATCCAAGGATTCTGATAAAAAGAATGAGGGAGAAGATTCAGTAAAAGGTTCCTGCTGGATGTATGAAGTGCAAGGTAAAAGATAATATATCATATTATGTTTTTCATATTCGTTTAACCTTTAGTTGATCTAACACTACTTCCTTTGAGCAGGTTATAGAATTGACTTGAACATGTGTCCCCTTTCATCTGAAGATGAAGTAAATGTTGTTAAGAAGCTTGGAGCAGAGAAACGTCAAGAGTGTGTATCAGAGCAGTCACGAGTGTTGGTTCAAGCTCTACCATGTTTAAACAGCACTCTACTTTTGAACAAGCCACATGACGACTCATATAAGCCAAAGAAGAAGAAGTTAAAACTTGGTCCAACCAACAAAAGTTTCAAGGCCAGTTCAGAATCTCAGACCAATCAAGTGACTACTGATAAAAGGAGTTCTAGTTCTGTAAGAAACCAGACTAAAGTAGTTGCGAAAAAGAAAAAGAAGAAGAACAGAAGAATATGTCTTGTTAAAGAGGGAAATTATCAAGAGATACCTGCAGCTGAGGCTATGGTTGACATGTCTAGAAAGTCTGGTCGTGAAGCCTCTGATTTTATCACATCCTTGAGCAAAAATCTACTTCTGTTGGCTGAGGTTTCTTCTTTGGCTGTTGGAGGCTACGAGCTAGACTACTCTGAGGACACAACAGATATGACTCTGGAGGACCACAAGAGATCTCTGAGATCGAGTACTGCATACAACAAAACAGCAGTCTCCAGCATTGTCCTTAAAAAGCAGAAGAGAAGCAATGTCAGGGGGAAACGCAAAAATGACCAGCACACATTTTCAGAATGTGAAGCCAATGAGGATGTGCAGGTAAAGATAGACGATGTTTCTGACCTAGAAGGGGACTGTGAGTTCACCAAGACGAAGAGAAGAAGCTCTCCTCTTAAACGGATAGAGGGTTTCACATGGGGAGCCAAAAGTAAGAGAAGACGAGGCTGTAGAATCCCTGTTGCTGATTTTCAGCATATGATCATCAACCAATAGTGTAGCCAAAACTAAAGAGGTGACTACAATACTTACTTACCATAGCTTGCTTTATACTCTTGGAGAATCAAGAATCTTATTGGAGATGGGTGTTGCAACAAGTCTACTACAAAGGAGAATCAAAGATCCCTAAACTTTTGAATATTTTGAGGGTATTTTTAGGGGTGGGACTTAGCTATATCTAGTTTATCAAAAGATAATGACAAGTCTTTAAAACTAGAGTTGGTGCTCAAGAAATTGCATAAACACGAGTTAGTTCACAGATTCCAAAAACGAGTACCACAACTTCATGTCCAAGAATCCATCCACACACATTCTAACGAATCATAAACACGAGTGACACAATGCCTGTGGAGGTTAAGTTAACAATTGTTTCTGAATCTCTGAAATTAGTGACATTGATTCTCTTAATATTGAAAACAAGGGGATCATTTTTGTTTCTTTGGTCATACAGAGATACAAACACCTTTACTTTGGCATATCAAACTCTTTTAAAACTCATTACAGTTTCTTCTCTACAAAATTGAAGGCTGATTCACAGACAAATTCAAGCTGGCTTTTACGAGGCAGGATCGATTTTCTGATCTATGGAGTAGGAACTACCTGGAACTTCAACCAGAAGCTCGTCGTCTTCCTCTTCCTCGATCACAGAAACCGAACAATCAGTCTCCTGCAAAACACAAATACATTAAAATTTAATGGAACAAATGTAACTCGTAAGACAAATGTTGAGTTATGCTACACAATGAGTCTTGCAGTGTATTGTAAAAGCCACCATTTCACATCAATGTGTCTCATAAAACATACCTTTTTGTTTCCATCAGCCGAGAGTTTTGTTTTGTCTGGAATGTTTCTGAGTTCCTTTAAAGTGTTTTTGAGTTGCTTCCTGGCTTTAGACCGTATTAATTTGCGTTCAGCGCATTGAGCTGCAGTGACATCCGCATGACAAGCCACACAAAGCGTCCTCATGTTCTCCAGCCGACACTCGCCTATGAGTGATTCAAAGTCCAAGAACACTTGCTTGATCAGTTGAATGTACATATGAAATCATGTACTAAGAATGATGTCTTAGTCTACTGTAAAAAGTTGCGACTCACCTCCACCTCGGTAGACTGGTATAATATGATCGGCGTGCCAAGCATTTCCTTCGGCTGGATCATTAACCAGGGTCTCGAGCCTTTGCCATTAGAGGAAAATAAAGAAATTGAAATTTCAAATATAATTTGTATCTCCAAAACACAGTAATTAAACAACTTTTGATATTCAAGTAGAAGTATAAACTAAAAGTTGGGTTAAATGGCTTACAAGTTCTTCCGGGCAAACAAGACGGGAGCAACTTTGTTTATGTATTCACGCCGTTTCTCCAGTGGTAAAGGCTTTATATATCTAACAAGTTGGTGGCAATCTAACTTGCAGTTTGCGCAAATACCATGTTCTATCTGAAAAAGTTCCTGAGAATTGAAAACTTACACCTCTTAGTGATGCATTAAAGGAGCAAATGAAATGAAACTTGTCAGCCAAAACATAATTAAAGAGTTGCCAAGAGTCCGAGACAAACCTGGCGAATATATCTGCTGCTGGTTCTTGTCCGGTAATCTTCATAGCATTCAAGATCACAGAAAAGATCCTCAAAATACTCAGGCTCTTTGGCGTTGTTTCCCCTATAACCAAAAAATTGTATAGACGTCACTTGATGATAAAACAGTGAAAAGAGTTTAGCAAACAGTAGAGAGAATACACAATGTTTTCACTCACTTGCAGGGCTTTTGACAAAATTTACAGAGTGGTTCGTTGCTCATACTCCAAGCTTGGGTGTATTCCTTTTCCTTTTTTTGGTAACCACTTCGAAGGTTGACCTTTCGCCATACTGCATTTTGAGGTAAAGGAATACTGATCTCTGAAAAGGGTGTATTTCGTCTTTTGCTCCCTCCTCTGAGCAATCCCTGAGCGAGAAAAATTCTTAATAATCATTTTCAAAGCCAATATTTGGAAAAAAAATGTAGGCTAAAAGATATACCTCACTGTTGTGACTAGTTCTTTCACTCAAGTAGCTCAACTCCAGTGATAAAGGTAGTTGTAAAGGCTTTCCAAGTAGTTTCCTCTTTTCAATTGGCCGTAATGCTTTCCACTCTTTCATAAATTCTAAAATAGCTCGCACATGAACTGGATCATCCGTGAGGGATTCAGGAGTGTTTTCTTTATTGATGCATGGAGTTGAACTGCTCGCTTCAATCTCCTCTGGTCGGAAGTTCTGGAAGTGAGGCCTTGGTCGTGGATCTTTCCCAGGAATGCAAGAATATAAATGGATTCTCCCAGTGTTCTGGCTCACCTGAAAGAATGAAAATTCCGATTAATATGCGTTTTCAGCTCCAAACAAATCAAATATAATTATATTTGACAAATTTCACAACAGAAACAAAAATCAGATTGCAGCTTGGATCCGAGAAACTTAGAGAAGAGTCGAAAAGTATGCAGTAAGTTCATCAAATTTGGCCTTCTCGACATGAACTAGCCAAGGTAACAATAACAACGCATAAAATAAGAAGAGCCGATGCAGACTTAAACTTTACCTCAAATCGCAGAGAGTCAACGAGTGGAAAAAAGGAATGTGAATCATTCTCCTCCACAACCCCATTATCAGCAATAGCCTGCATCATAGACAAATGTATTTAAATTTCCGGACATGCCAAAGAAGAGAAGTAGACGTTTCACAAGAATCATGTTTATACATTTTCAGGCTGATGATTTTCTTGGTTTTCCCGGCCTAACATAGTAGAAGAAATAGTGCCAGAAGGCCTCTTCTCAGACCCCGAACCATTTTCAACAGAAGGACAGAAGACTCTTAATATTTCCAAATGAGGATTCATGTTGTCCTGCTCAGCCAAAAAAAACAGCCAGCCAATCATGGAGACAGATTTTGTTAACCAAGTAAAAATTCTGCCATTCATGTTTCATCCAGACATCTGGCTTGTACACTTTCATGGTATAAGAAAGATAAGTTCGGAGATTATAAATGCCCAAATTATTTATCTGCGACAAGTCAAGAGATAAACCTTGAGATCAATTGTATTTGATACATCTGTCTCAGATTCCATATCTTCACAGCTTTCTACAATGTTGTCAGCTATTACTCCATTAGCTTGTGATAGTTGTGCATCAGGAACTTCTCTTTCACTGCTTTCTTCAGCAGGCTTGAAAATATGTGCTCTTTCAATCTGTCCAGATATAAGTTTACCAAAAATATTAATGGCCTAGGTACAAATTAAAACCTAAGACATGAATAATCCTCTACGAACATCTAAAGGAAATGACAATGAATTACTGAGAATTTAGAAAAAGAGCAGAGATTTGGGAAGTACTTCGATTTCAGTCTTCGCATCATATTTTCCATCAGTGGTAGATGAAATACGGTGCAACTTCTTGTTCAAATTTTGCCAATTTGACTCGTCCATAGTATCCTGTCACGTAAGAGTCGTTATTAAAGTATAAGACAAAGGAAAAAATTTCAAGTGAAAAATATGGCAGTAGCAAACGAGTGTTTACCTTTGCGCAGATGATATAAACATTCACTGCGCTTGTTTGGCCTCGCCTATGTGCTCTATCCTCAGCCTATAAAATGCAATCAGTTGATAATGAATGAAACAGCCTTACCGCTTTTTGAAGAAATATACAGTACAGGAAAAATACCTGAAGCAACAGTGACGGTGTTTTCGGCAATTCCACAAACACAACATTTTGAGCTGCTGAAAAATCAAGTCCAACTCCCCCAGCTTCTACGCCAATTATTGCAACTTTCACCTTGAGGAGAAAACCATAGCATAGGTCATATATCACACATCCTAACAAGCCAGTCATTCAAAGAGATGATGAGCATATTAGAGACATTGTGCATACCTCACTAGAATACTGAAATGACTGTACAGCCAATTGTCTATCTCTTGGCAAAGTCGTCCCATCAATGCGGACGAAACCAATGCCTTTATCACATATAAATTCCTGGCAAGCAAAAATCACACCAGATTTTATATAAGCAAACTATGGAGCTGCATCATAATAGTAACAAGTTTAAAACCAGAACAGAACGAACGAGCATGCAGAAATAAATTTCTAAATTCTCAAAGAGGTGCGGATGGGAATGAACCATACTAACCTGAACTCCATCCAGAACCTTATGGTGATGTGCAAAAATGACCATCTTAGTTGAGCTTGTGTCTTCACTAATTTCTTCAGGGGTATAATCCAGTCCTTCGGATATAAGTGGATGTAGTGATAACCATTCACGAAAGGCAGAAAGCTTTGCAACACCAAGTTGTTGATAGGAGAGATTCCCGGATAGTTGATTATCCTTGTCACCTAATGCACAACATAAAGAAAAATGACAAAAGAAGAGTGTAAATATATGCATAGAGAATTATCCCTTTGACTTTCATGGAAAGAAATAATTTAAACATACAGTCAGGATCATCTGGGTCCACTTCGTTCATATCTCCATCTTTACTTGATCCATGAGCTATATGAGCAATACCTACATAGGCAGCTTGTGTTAACACGTTGGATGAACTACCGTGGTTAACTAGATCTTAAGACAGACAAACTTGAGGCTGGAGGTACTGGTAAAAATAAAATACCAATACTCAGAATCATGACCACATACCTTCAAGTTCATGAGTGTTCTCTGTGACGTCTGTTATAGCCGCATTCGGTTTATTAGCCTCACTGAGAATAGTCATTGCTAAAGCTATATCAGACTTCTTTAGCAGTATGGTTACAATTTGTCTACGTTTTGGGGGTAACTGTGCTAAAACATGCTGCTTCAGTCTTCTTATCTATCACAAACGAAAAGGGATTTAACATCACGAGTTCTTTTCCAACTTAAAACACAGTGAGAGAAGCGTTAATTGAACTGTGATCTGTGAAGGTTGGAAACGTTTTCTCCCAAAAGTTTCAGTTAGGAATGTTTCTTTAAGAAGTCTAGGAAAATTATAAGTTATAACAGAGACTTAAAAAATTGGATTGCACACTTGGTTCTTTCTGAAGATAAATCAATGAATAATCAAGTTGATCATTAGTGCCAAACTGAAATTGAATAACCAGGATATACCATCACTGTCTGGTTTAGCAGTATGTTCAACTCCAGTAAGCGAGTACCCTTTGAAAAATCCTGAATCAACATAGCAAAAAAAGAACAAGCAAAGATCAGGGAACCACATTCATTTTAGGAAAGAAGCGACTAAAAATAAACAAAGTTAGTATGATAGCAACTGGGAGTATCGTGCATTTAATAGTAGAGAATCATGAGGACACAATTGGCTACCACATAAGGTCCATATCTACCTGGAAAATTTTCCCCTGTATACCTTTGACAAGCCCGACTTCACAGTAGGTTTTCGCAAACTCATACTTGTTCTTTCCCAGCAAACCAGGCCTGGTGACAGAACCAGTGTTAGAAAACCTGAAAGTAATTTGCAAAACCAAACGTTGAAGTCAAAGTTTGCAGATGACTTGCCAGAGCATATTTATCTGATGGAAAATGTCGAAGGGCCTGTGGTCACCTAGGAAAAAAACAGATAAATTGCAAATTCGAAGCAAATAGAAGATACTGATTTTACTAAATTTTTAATTTCCACAACCTCGATAAAGAAGGAGTTCCTGACAAGAGCACTATGTGCTTAACCTTTTCAGCGACATCAAGAACTGACTGTATCTGCAAAACATAACCGAATGTGTTTAGACGATCACCCATTCACCCTTATATAAAGAGCATCAGATTTGAGGATGTTCTTTGACGTGTAAGAGAAAGTGTCACTGAATCATCTCTGTGTTACTCAAATGCAACTCAATTCAAATAGGAAATCATAAGAAAAAAGGACACAGGTAAGGTATGCGTACGAAACTCATTACTGAGAAAAGCAAAGTTTAACATACCTCAGATGATTCTGAATTCTTCTTTGAACAACGTACGTGATGAGACTCATCTAGTATCAAAAGGGCCCATTCTCGCTCAAGCATTGTTTTTCTAAGACGCTGAAGCATCGTGTATGAAATAACCACAACTTTTGGCCATCTTGGTAAATAGGCAGGATTATTTTGATGACCGAAAACTGAAACCAAAAGTTTCTGTCAAACTCAAACTTACTTTGCCAAAATATATCCAATTAACGGCTCTAATAACTAATTCAAATATTTCGCTTATGAGCTCATATGGCGCAATAGTACGAGGTAGAATTTGCTAAATCTTTGAACATGGCTAATTAAACATAAAAGAAGCAGAAGTGGCTAGTTAAACTAGCGTAGTTAACAAATGCAAGAAGCAGAAGTTTAAAAGAGAAAATATTACAGTAAAGACTTTTACCTAGATGTATGTCAGAAGGCAAACAAAACGGCAACCAACGTTCCAACTCTTCTGCCCACGAGTAACGCAAAACCGCAGGACACACAACAAGTATAGAACCCTCATTCATGAAGCACCCAGCAATAGCAATAGCCTGCCAAAAAAAAAAAAAATCAAACATTCACATAAACCAAACTATCAAAAAAAAAAAAAAACTCCAACTAATTTCCTTCACAACACCAAAAAAAAACATCACCTGAAGTGTCTTCCCAAGCCCCATTTCATCAGCAATAAGACACCTCCCACCTCTCCTCAACCCAAACCTCAAACCATCAAGCTGAAACGGCAAAAGCGAATCCACCAATTTCCTCGGCAAGTTCCCAATCAATTCCTCAACCTTCTCCTCGTTAAAATGCTCATGCTTACAAGGCTCCCATTTCCCAGAGATGTATGACTGAGAAAGCTTCTCAACGACAGCAAACGTAATCCAAGGAATCTCCTCAACTTCAACTACCTTTGACCTTCTTAACCTTCCTAAAACCATACTGTAATCCCTAATTTTGTAAACACCAGCTTTCCCTCCGTCTTGGTTTTGAGTGTAGTGTGAAGGCATCGCCTGCAAAAAGGTAAAAATCAATTAAAAAAAAAATCTGAAAATTCCGAAAAAAACAAAAAATATCTATAACCGTTACCTCAGAGAGAATCTCGTTTAACTGACGAAGGCAATCTTGCTTTTCCGGGAACCGGAACCCTTGGATTTGAACCGGCGTAACCGAAAACGAATCGGGAGAGCAGATCTCGAGCTTGGCGCGGAACTTCTCCGGTACGGTTGCGGTTACTTCGTGACTCCGATGCGATTCTTGTGAAACGACACCGTTTCCGCCGTCGAGCTTCCGGCATTTGGATAACCGGAAATCATGTTGTTTGTGTGAGTTTTGTGAGGGATCATGAAACGACGGCGTTCGTTTCTCCCCGATCATGAATCGATCTTCTTCTCCCATTGATTAGGTTGTTGGAAGTGAAAGAGAAGAGAAGAGAAGAGACAACGTTTGAATTTTGAAACGTAAGAGCGAGCGAGTGAGTGAACGGAGGGAGAGCGGGTCGAAGAAACTCTCACACGTGCCAACTAATATATAAACAAATTAATTCGGTTCACCAATAAGAAGATTCGGTACGATGTAAAACCAATTAAACCGGAATCCCAATTTCAACAAAGTCTGATTCGTTTCACTATAGGACTGAGATTTTGACCCCAAACCAAAAACATTGGATTTTTAGTTTATGTTTGATTGAATTTGATTCTTTTACAGAAATTGATTATTGGTTTAGTTTGATAATCAATTAGTTCAGTTCTCCATTACAAGAAAGAATTACGACCAAACTATATTAACCTTCAACCAAATTACTAATCAAACTAGCCGAAACTAATAGAAATTCTGACTTTTTACCCAAATTTATACCAAAATAAAAGACTCTATCTACCAATGTTGAATCTTGGGTTCCAATAGATTAAGAGTTACAGAAAATGCTAACTGTAGAGTAGTAGATTTGATTAATACAATCTCAAGTTCGGATAATGATTGGATACAGTAACATATTACTAAGATATACAAGTATAAAGGTCTTACCTTTAGATCACCCAACTCTCAGAAGGCTTAAACAGAAGAACATATACTAAGAAACTGGAAGATAAAAAAATTAAAAATGTAGTTTTTGGTAATATTGATATTTGCTAGTAGTAGTTGGGGGTGAATGATGAGTAACTTAAAAATATTCAGAGGAAACAAAATAGAAGAAGAGAAGAAAGTTAGATTTGAGTTTTAGGATTTTTAAAAAAGGTCTGAGAAAGAGAGGGAATGTTTGAGAATCATTTGGGATTTTTTTTTTCCTGAACTATTCTGTTTTTGGGATGATGATAATTAGAATTTTCAAAGATATTAATACAGAACCATATGATTTTCTATACTCTAATAAATTGAGTAAGACATTTATTAGCTAACAGAAAATAAAAAACGGAAAAGGAATTGATCTACGAAATTCTGATGGTAACAAAAGATATTCACATTATAAAAGTCCTACTAGTAGTCATGTTAATAAATAATGTAATGAAATATATTAATTTAAATGGCTAAGATCAAGATGCCGATTCTCCGAAAAAAAAACACAAATTCTATTATATATTAATTGAGAAATCACTTAAATGATTTTAGTTATGTGTCAATTATAAGTGAAATTTAACAAAATTGTTATAATTTGATTAGCCGATGATTTAAGTGATTTTGTTAATGTGTCAATCATATATGAATTTTTAAGAAAATTGTTATAATTTGATTGGCCGATAATTTTTTATTTTTATTTATTTTAATCAAATCTAAAATAGGCAAATCTTAAACTATTTAATGTTAGTTGCCAAACAATTTATATATCCTCTTCGTGGTCACAGAGAGCTAATCAGGTGAAGAACAAACGACGAAACAAGAAGCAGAATCGAATCGGATCCCGCCACTACTTAATCGGATCCCGCCACTACTTTTTTCAAACCAAAAATCTGAAATTAATCAAGAAAACTTGTTTTTATAAATCAAAATTAAATCAAAGCCGACAAGATAGACTTTTTGAACTAAAATTTAGTTCAATTAAAAAAAAATGAAATGAAAAAAACGAAAAATTCATGTTGTTATTTCAAAAAAATTGATTCCACAGTTACTCATATAGAAAAAATTAATAACTATTGAATTTATTTGACAACAATACAAAAATTCTTTGATAAATTAATCGAATTAGAAACCAAACTTATTGAATTTCTGTAATGCATTATTTGAATTAGAAGATAACCTTTTTGAATTCATTTTATGCTAACAAGACTAACTAAAACCGGTAATCTATACCGAACAATAATTGTACTCAATTTGCATGCCTAGTTTTTTTTTATGGTTCAATAGGCAAAATCTCCAAAGATTAGTCCGTGTCCACTTAAAATCCTAGATTTGTAAGAGAACGAGACAACATTCGCAATTTTGTTATATAGTTCTTGAATTTTGTAATTTCAAATTTCAGTGAACTCAATAATCTATTTTGCACTATCTTGTTTATATATGGTGATGAGTTTAGATTGAAAGATTTTTCCTATTTTTTTTGTTGTCAAAAAATTTATTATGTACTTTCTTTAACAATGCCAATCAACCACATTCCTTTAGCAATCTCTATGTTGTTGGTCGTGGCAGAACCAATAAACTCTGGATCAGCATATATAAAGGGAAAACCAGTAAAAAATGACCTTTTAAAGTTGTCTTAGCTTAGTGTAAATGTTGCTTCATACTAAAAAGAAAAATTATAACCAAAATATAACAATTCTAATAAGAATAGTGAAATGAACTAGCCAAATTTCGACCAAAACAATCAAACTAGTTAAAAGGTTCCAAAATTTTGCGGAATCAAAAGAATGCTGGAAATAACCATATTTTTGTTTCGTTCAATTCAACATCGTTTTCTACTTACCGAACTAACTAAAACCTGAATGACTCTAACCAAACTAAACGTTCAAACATGTAGTATTTATTGTTAAATAGACAAATCCTCAAACCTTTAAACTCAGCACCCAACCAGATACTGGAAATAGATGATTGATTTCATAGAAAATTTTACATTACAAGATTCAAGAACTGTGTAACAAAATATAAAAGATTTATCTCTTTCTCCTATTTGATTTTAAGCAGGCAAAGGACTATAGCCTTCAACAAATTTGTGAAGATGTGGGCTTACACTGAATCTTCTTCCTCTGATATGTTTTATCATTGGCTTGAAGAGAGATTACAGTTTCAAAAGCCCCAACCAATGCTCTAACTTTACTCTTCTTCTCTTCTTCAAGCTTATTCACAGTCTCTTCAATCACCTTATTGGAAAGTGTCTGCACTTTCTTCTTTGGTTCCACTTTTCTATGCCTCAAAACAACATTCTCTCGTTTACCTTCACCAATGTTATAACTCTTATCCAGACCTTCTCGTTTGTCTTTCAGGTTCTTCTTGTTCACATCGCTTCTAAGTTTTGGTTCTTGAACAACTCTCTTCTTGAATTTGATCAATGCAGGAGTGGAATCTTCTGTTTTCGGTTCAAGAACTTTGCCTTTCTTGAAACTCAGCGGCTTAGTTGGAGGATCAGGACTAGGAGTAGCCTTTAAACCAATCTTCTTGAGCTTAATCTTGCTTTCGGTTTTGGAACTAGCTACAAGAGTTGCAGAACCACTCTCTTTCCTCTCAGAGAAACCAGTCTTGGACCTTGAAGGCATCTCTCTTATTGGCCTAGGATCTGTTCTTGTAACCCATGGTTCTTTAACCTGCTTAGAGGATGGGAACAAGGATGGTAAAAGTGTAAGACTCTTCTTTAAACTGCCGTTTAAGATTTTCTTCTCAGGTGATGGCTTAACCTCACTCTTAACACTTTTAATGCTCTTCTTCTTCTCCTCAATAATGGATTCAACAACATACAAAGTCTTCTCCAACACATCATCACATCTAACCGGTTCATCAATCTTAGTCTTCTTATCTTTCTTCAATACATCATCTTTAGCACTCTTGCTCTCGTTGATCATTGACACCTTCTTAACATCAACACTTGTCTTCTTGACCATTTTTAAGCCAACAGCTGAATCAATAGGAGTGATACTACTCTTTGTTTCACTTCTCTTAGAACTCTTGCTCACCTTCTCAACATCAACATTTGCCTTCTTGACCATTCTTACAGAAGCTGAATCACTAGGAGTGATAGTACTACTCCTTGTTTCACTTCTCTTAGCCTTTACACCATGACAAGATTTGACTACCTCACTAGCAGCAGCAGCAGGATCTCTCTTTGAAACATGCAACGACTTGTCAGGTTTAGAAACACTTACCAACGACTTCCTCACCAAACTCAATGTCTCATTTTTCACCAAACCTCCTCCACACTCAACATTCTTGTTCTTAACCAGCTTCCACGGTTTGATTACTAAATCATCCTCACGTCTCTTCCCGTGTTTACAAAGATCATGAGTTGAACTAGTTTGGTTCCCACGGTAACGAGTTTGAGCCTGAGCTTTACTTCCTGGTGGTCCTCTTTTATCTAACGCTCCAGTCGAGTACCGTCTCAAACTCACATGACCATTGGATACAGCTGGAGGAGGAAGAACAGAGGTTTCTTCAATGATTTTCATTGGTTTTGCATCATGGAAACAACAGCTCTCATCAGGAATCATCTCTTTAACTTGTGAAATATTCTCTTCAGCCATTATCAGAACTGCAGAGAAGAAGCAAATACATGTTAACAGTAGTACTGAAGGATCTCAGAATAAAAGTCAACGAAACCAATTTTACAGTTTGTTTTTTTGATCATCAAAAGAGATAAACATCACTCTCATATATAAACCAAGGCACATAGTGATTAGATCAGTGTGGTATTAATCCTAAACTGTTCAGATCAAATGGAATATATCACATTCAAACATATTAGAGAATGAAAGAATCTACCAGTATTGAATCTTTGGTTCCTTTTAGATGAATGAATCTTTACTTCTTGAAACAGAGATCAAGATTTTAGTGAAAATGTTAAACTGGAGAGTCTAGTGGATTTGGTGTACGATCTCAAGTTTTGATAACGATTGGATGTAGTAACATATTTCCTAAGATATTCAAGTAGAAAGATGTTACCTGTAGATCACCAAACTCTCAGAGGACTAAACCAGAAGAAAAAAAATACTAAGAAACTGGAAAAAAAAAGTGAAAATATATAGTTTTGGGTAGTATTGCTATTTTCTAGTATTAGTTGGGGAATGAAGAGTGACTTAAATAAATTCAGAGGAAACAAAAAAGAAGAAGAAGAGAAGAAAGTTAGATTTGATTTCTAGGAAGAAAAAAAAAGGTCAGGAAAGAGAGGGAAGGTGACCTGAAATATTCAGTTTTGGGATGAATGATAATTAGAATTTAAAAGATATTAATACAGAACCGTATGATTTTCAATACTCTAATAAATTGAGTACAACATTAATTAGTAACAAAATTAAGAATTTAAAATATAATTAAATTCGTTAACTGAATTCAACTCAAGAACGAACTTATGATGGTAACATAACGAAATCAGATTATAAAAGTCCTAGTAATAGTCCATAATGTAATAGTTGTATTAACTTAATGTGGCTTTTTCAGGTTTTGACGGATCGGAGATATGAAACAGAGTCTTTTTGTATTTTTCTAAAGAATTATTTGCTTTCCGTGATGGACAGATTATAGATTCTTTTGATTATAATAAGATCTAGATGCTGACTCCCAAAAAACACAAATCATTTCTTAATAATTCCTGCCAAACAAATAAAATATAATCCAAACTGAAAAACATAATTATGAGCAAGGCCAGGCCTATATTATATCCGAGGCCCAAAGTTTTTAATCCAACAGACTTTTTCTATATTGCGTGGCTCGTAAAGCATAAGTGAATTGGAAACTTGGAATAATATTAAGGATTTGCTTAAAACAATAAAATATACAAAATTTGGATTGAACAAATACTAAGGGTTCAACAATGCTTCTACACCCGGAAGTCTAGGGTTCAAACCCCAGAAAAAACAAATTATGCAGCTTATGGACAAACAAACTACAAGAGATCTTCAGCTTGGTGCATGGCGTACCATCGAACATGGATCTCATAGGACGGCTCGGACTGATGCAGTCAGGCGTGTATTCTCACAAGATGGTAGAATTGTCGGCTGTAAAATCGTCTATATAATATTCTCATCGTTGTAGTAGCATAATTAATCAGACGTTAAAAAAAACAAATATTAAGAATTTAATATTCTAATTAAATATAAAAATAATCATAAAGACATATGAATAAAAAATTTCATTTAATAAATTAAATATACTATATAACAATATTAATATCATTTAATTTTAATTATATATCATATAAAATAGATAAATAAAAATGATTTTTTACTTTTATATCCATGGCATAATTATATTTATAAAATAGTTATTGATTTTTCAATTATTCAATATATATTTATTATTTTATATAATATATAAAAATGTAAATAAATAATAATATTCATATATGATATTCATCCCATGCAAAACACGGATCTTAGTAATATTAAGAATTTATTTAAAACAATAATATAAGATAATAATGCCACTGAAAGCTAATTGCCAGCAACATAGTACAATTATAAGTTCAGACAACGAATAAAACCAATGCGTAATCTCTTTGTCACAATATGGCCAAGTAGCAACTTTCACGTGTGAATATTTGGGTCTGTGCTCCCACATGACGACTTGCCTTACGTAATTTATAGTGTGGTTGTAGAAGATAATCTTTGTCAGGATATAGTCATCGAAAATGCAAAGTTATTATCTATATATATAACAAGAAAACAAACAAGCATTGAAAGAAGCAAACATGGCTTCTTCAACTTCTTCTTCTTCTTCATCAGAAGTCAAGATAATCTCTGAAAGCTTCATCAAACCCAAAACCCTCCCTGAAAAATCAAAAGAGTCATACCATTTATCACCATTAGATCATCTTATGCTCTCCTTCAATTACATCCAAAAGGGTCTTCTCTTTCTCAGACCATCTTCTGATGATGCAACCAAACCAAAAGACTTCATGGAGACTTTGCTTCAAAGGCTTAAAGACTCACTAGCAACAACACTTGACCATTTCTACCCTCTTTCAGGTCGTCTCTCGACTTTGAAAACAGACAATCCAAGATCTTACTCGGTGTTTGTGGACTGTAACAACAGTCCTGGAGCTGGATTCATCCATGCCAAATCGAATCTAAGTGTTGAAGATATTGTTGGGTCTAACTATGTTCCTTTGGTTGTTCAATGTTTCTTTGATCATCACAAAGCAGTTAATGTCAATGGTCAGAACATGAGTCTCTTATCAGTCAAGGTAACAGAGCTGGTGGATGGAGTGTTCATAGGTTTGTCTATGAATCATTCGGTTGGAGATGGATGTACTTTCTGGAACTTCTTCAACTCTTGGTCCGAGATTTTCAACTCACAACAAGAAGATGAAACCAAGGATTTGTTTTTTCTCAAGAATCCTCCAATCTTTCGTGAAGTGTCTGGTCCTATCTGCAAGCTTCCTTACAGTCCACTTGATGAGTCCATTACCCAATCCGAATCTCCTGTTCTGAAAGAGAGAATGTTCCATTTCTCATCAGAAACACTGAGATCACTCAAATCAAAGACCAATCAAGATTCTGAAACAACAACAATGATCTCTTCTTTACAGTCATTAACCGCAGTTATATGGAGAAGCGTTACAAGAGCAAGAAGACTACCAAACGATCAAGAAACTACCTGCAGGTTTGCTGTAGGAACTAGAACAAGAATGAACCCACCATTACCTATGAATCACTTTGGGGTTTACACCTCTCTTGCAAGCACCAAGGCCACAACTGGTGAGGTATTGGAGAATGGGTTAGGATGGGCTGCTTCAAGGTTGCATCAAGCTGTAACCAAACAAAATGGAGAGAAGATTGCTTCTGAAATTGATCATTGGTTGAAGGCTCCTTTTGCTTTGCTACCAGAACAGTTTTTAGAACCGAACCTTGTTCATATGGGAAGCTCACCGAGGTTTGACAAGTATGGAAGCGAGTTTGGGATGGGGAAAGCTGTTGCGGTTAGAAGCGGTTATAACGGTAAGCATGATGGTAAGGTATCAGCTTACCCTGGGAGAGAAGGAGGAGGAAGTATAGATTTGGAAGTCTGTCTTCTGCCAGAGTTTATGGAAGCTTTGGAATCAGACCAAGAGTTCATGTCTCTTGTCTCTTCTTCTTGACCTTATTCATATTTTTCAGTCACAGAACTAAGGTTTTTTTCCTAGGTGTGTGTTTCTTTGTTCTGTTTCACTCTCTTTGGTTGGGTTTGATAAGGTTGTTGTCTGTTTTTTCTTTTATGTTAGTTTATATCTGATATGGTGATTTTCTGTCAAATGCTGTTTGATGGTTAATGTCAAAGGACTGTGCAGTTGTTGGAGTTCTTAAACACATTTGATCAGCAAAAGAGAAGTAGTTTTGCATCACAAGATGGAAAGAGGAAGAGAAAGAAAGCAAAACCTCTAGTTTTCTGACATGCATCAGAAGATTCAGGGAGCGGTTCACGGGTTCTTGATTGTGGTTTGGGCAAATGGTTTCAACCCCAGCTTTTCTCTGGTCTCAAATCTTCTCTTGGGTGATTCACCTGCTCAAAAGTGGTCAACAAAAATAAATAAATCTTCTGCACTTCCTCTCTAAGAGCTGACGTTCTTTCTCCACTTATATATATATAATAGACTCCTATGTTCCACATGGACGAGTTATTTAAATCCATGAAACATCCTATAACCACTTTTCAACAACGTTCCTCCAGCAAGCATATTATATACAAATAAGATAACATACTCATCGTGCAATTAACAGCTATTAATTATAGCTAACGCAAGAAGAGTTGAAAAAAAGAAAGAAGAGAGAAAGCAAATAAACATTGAAAGAAGCAAAAAGAAAAAAATGGTTTCATCTTCTTCTTCTATGGAAGTCAAGATAATCTCAGAATGCTTCATCAAACCCAAAACCATTATATCACAACAGCCATACCATTTATCAGCACTGGATCATATGATACTCCCATTCCAATACATCCAAAAGGGTCTTCTTTTCCTCAAACCATCTGAATCTTACGATCAGGTCAAACCAAAACATTTTGTGGAGACTTTGCTGCTGCAAAGGCTTAAAGATTCTCTAGCAACAACACTTGTCCACTTCTACCCTCTCGCTGGTCGCCTCTCGACCTTAAACACCGACAATACAAGATCTCACTCGGTGTTTGTGGACTGTAATAGTAGTCCTGGAGCTCGTTTCATCCATGCCAAAACAGATCTAACTGTAGCAGACATTGTTGGGTCTAAATACGTTCATTCTGTTGTTCAATCTTTCTTTGATCATGACAAAGCAGTGAATCTTGATGGTACAACCATTAGTCTCTTATCAGTCAAGGTACCTTTTTAGGTTTAAAATCTCACACTCACTCTTGTATATATATATATAAATCTCAGATTCTTGTTGGGGTTGTATAGGTAACAGAACTGGTAGATGGAGTGTTCATAGGATTGTCTATGAATCATGCAGTTGGAGATGGAAGTTCCTTCTGGAACTTCTTCAACTCTTGGTCCGACATCTTCAACTCACAACAAGAAGAAGAAGAAACCATTGATAACAACAAGTTATGTTGTCTCAAAAACCCTCCAAGCTTTCGTGAAATGACCGGTCCTATGTGTATGCTTCCTTACAGTCCACTTGATGAGTCCATTAGTAGTCAATCCGAATCTCCGGTTTTAAAAGAGAGAATGTTCCATTTCTCATCAGAGACAGTGAGATCAGTCAAATCAAAGGCCAATCAAGATTGCAGAACAACAACAACAACAATGATCTCTTCTTTGCAGTCATTAACCGCGTTGATATGGAGGAGCATTACAAGAGCAAGAAAATTACGTAATGATCAAGAAACCACTTGCAGGTTTGCTGCTGGCAATAGATCAAGAGTGAGTCCACCATTGCCAATGAATCACTTTGGGGTTTACATATCTCTTGCAAGTACCACTGTGAAAACTTGTAATCTATTGGAGAATGGGTTAGGATGGGCTGCTTTAAAGCTGCATCAAGCTGTAATCGAACACAATGGCGAGAAGATAGCTTCCAGAATGAATACATGGTTGAAGTCTCTTTCTGTTTTGCAACCAGTGCTAGTTTCAGAACCGCACCTTGTTCATATGGGAAGCTCACCGAGGTTTGACAAGTACGGAAGCGAGTTTGGGATGGGGAAAGCTGTTGCGGTTAGAAGCGGTTATAACGGTAAGCATGATGGGAAGGTATCAGCTTACCCTGGGAGAGAAGGAGGAGGAAGCATTGATTTGGAGGTCTGTCTTTTGCCAGAGTTTATGGAAGCTTTAGAATCTGATCAAGAGTTCATGTCTCTGGTCTCGTCTTCTCAGACACAGAACTAGTGTTTTTTTTCCCTAGGTGTGTGGTTCTTTGTTTTTTTATACCCTCTTTGGTTCGGTTTGATAAGGTTGTTGTCTGTTTTTTTTTTATAAGTTAGACATATCTGATAACTTTATGGTGGTTTGCAGTCAAATGTCTCTCAACTAATGTGTTTGATTGTTAATGTCAAAGGATGATGCAGTTATTGGAGTCAAATTTTCAATTTTATTAAGATCAGAGCTAAAACATTCAAAACTATTGCTTTGAGAAGATGCATGACTTTAAGCAATAATCTCATCAAGAGAGTAGAGAAGCTAACCAGTTTTGTTGTGAAGAGACTTCTTCTGAAGTTAGATTTTTTCACTCTGAAGTTAAGCTCGTCCACATCGTTTTGAAGGTGATCAAGTCCATTGGTTTTCCTGTGTTTTTTTTCATTTTATATAAGTCAGTTTTAACGAGGAAAAAGCGAGGTATAACTCTGTATAGAGAGAGTTCATAAACATACACTCCCTTGACTGAGAGCGAAACATACGAGACTCTGTTTCTCTCAGGCATTACGTCGAACAGCGTCAACGCATCTCTCCCGAAACCTGCTTTCACGTAGGAGTCAAAAGCTATGTTTGCATTCATTCATGCTTTCTTAAATAATGAACAACTAGATGATAACCCGCGCGCATGCGCGGAGTAAAATTTTTATACTAATATTTATTCATTAAATAGTTTTTAACATTTTGCAATATTACAATATTTATGATTATAAAATGATGAATACAAATGTTGATATCTTAAATCATCATAAGTCTCGACGTTTGAGACTTCGTCGGTTTTAGTTTGATTGACACGTATTTTCAGATTTTGGTATTATTCTCATAAATCTTATTTGAATTTTACTAATTATCGGATTGGATTCGATTTGATCTTCTCAATTCAGTTTGGATTGTAACCAATATCTGAAATCATCCCAAAAAATATTTGTTAAACATTAAAAGTTGACAAAAAATCAAAATATTTAAACTATTAATAAATCTAATTTAAAATTAGTGAAATTATCTAAACAAACTAAAAGATATTAAAAAAGAAGCAAATAAAAAAAACTACAAAAATCTTTCGAATACTATAATTTGTATCTACTAACCTCAAACCTTTTCACTGAAATTTTTAAATTAACATATTTATAGTATGAATATCTACTAATGATACTTCATATTCGTACAATTTATGATAATTTGTATTTGGATACAAACAAAGTTAAACCATTGATCATAAAATTTTCAATGTGGGATTTTACTATTTTTAGTTATTTATGGTCATTTTAAAAAATTTAAAATATAACCTATAAGAAAAAAAAATAATTTTTGTTTACTATATATTTAAATGTGCTTGTTTAATTTATTTTAATAATTTAAAATTAAACAAAAAAGAGAGAGGATACAAAAATATGTATTATTCATAATCATTAATTACATATATATGTTAATCATATTAGGTAATTCCGTAGCTTTTATTTAAGGAAATAAAATATATTTTTTTATGCCTAGCAGAGTTGGTCCCTTAAAAATGTCTATATATTATAGTCCTAAATGCAAGAAATTAAATGTTATATTATTTCATTTCTAGCAAAATTGGTTCATTAAAAAATTAAAGCTGAGAAACTCTGTGAGCTTGACACGTAAGCATGCTCTCCAAGGTTGTGCATTTATGAATGCTTCAGGATTAATATATAAGGGATAAAACAAAAAGAAAAAAGTTGGCAATGATAATGTTAAATCAACTATAATACGTATACGTCCAAAAGTAAACCAATATGAAACAAAAATTTAAGTTAGCATTTAAAGAAACATATACAAATGAAACCCAACATTTTAAAATACATTATGACTATCGTCTTCCACATGGCCGACTTATTAAAATCCATGAAACAAACCTCTTTTTGTCACATTCCACACCAACAAGCATATACTGTATTTATTTTATTTTATTTTAATAAAATACTACTATGTTAATTAAGATCAATAATTTCTCGTGCAACTAACCATTATTAATTATATCACTGATGCTAGCTACCTAAGATGAGTTAATAAACATACGAAGATCAATAGCAAATAAACATTGAAAAGAAGCAAAAAAAAAAAAATGGTTTCAACATCTTCTTCATCAGAAGTAAAGATTGTCACAGAATGCTTCATCAAACCCAAAACACTCCCTGAAAAATCAAAAGAGCCATACCATTTATCACCAATGGAACAGTTCACGCTCCCATTCCATTACATCCAAAAGGGTCTTCTCTTTCTCAAACCATCAATACCATCTCAACAGTCTGATGATGCAACCGAACCAAAAGACTTCATGAAGACTTTCCTGCAGAAGCTTAAAGACTCACTAGCAACAACACTTGTCTACTTCTACCCTCTCGCAGGTCGTCTCTCAACCTTGAAAACCGACAATCCAAGATCTTACTCGGTGTTTGTGGACTGTAACAACAGTCCTGGAGCTGGATTTATCCATGCCAAGTTGGATCTAAGTGTGTCAGATATTGTTGAGTCCAGATACGTTCCTTTGGTTGTTCAATCTTTCTTTGATCATCACAAAGCAATGAATCTCGAGGGTCAAAACATGAGTCTCTTATCAGTCAAGGTACATTTTTAGCTAGGTTCAAGATCTCACATTCATTTCTTGTTATGTCATTTAATATCTCACATCGAAAATTCAATGGAATCTTAAGTACTATATAAAAGGTTAGGACTAATCCACTTATCACTATTATTATTATTATTTTTGGAATGTGTAGGTGACAGAACTAGTAGATGGAGTGTTCATAGGATTGTCTATGAATCATTCCATTGGAGATGGATTTACTTTCTGGCATTTCTTCAATTCTTTCTCCGACTTCTTCACTTCACACCAAGAAGAAGATTTGTTTTGTCTCAAGAACCCTCCACTCTTTCGTGAAGTGTTTAGTCCTACTTTCATGCTTCCTTACAGTCCACTTGAGAAGTCCATAACCCGATCCGAATCTCCGGTTCTGAAAGAGAGGATATTCCATTTCTCATCAGAAACACTAACATCACTCAAATCAAAGACCAATCAAGATTCTAAAACAACAACGATCTCTTCTCTGCAGTCATTAACCGCAGTTTTATGGAGAAGCGTTACAAGAGCAAGAAAAACACCAAAAGATCAAGAAACTACATGCAGGTTTGCTGCAGACAATAGAACAAGAATGGATCCACCACTACGTATGAATCACTTTGGTGCTTACGTCTCTGCTGCAATCACCACTGCCAAAACTAGTGAACTGTTGGAGAATGGGTTAGGATGGGCTGCTTCAAAGCTACATCAAGCTGTAACAGAACACACTATAGAGAAGATCGCTTCACAAACTGATCGGTTTTTGAAGTCTCAACCGGGGACAATACTTAACAACCCGAACGTTGTTCATATTCGAAGCTCACCGAGGTTTGACACGTACGGATGCCAGTTTGGGATGGGGAAAGCTGTTGCGGTTAGAAGCGGTTATGGCGGTAAGTTTGACGGGAAGGTAGCAACTTACCCTGGGAGAGAAGGAGGAGGGAGCATTGATTTGGAAGTTTGTCTTTTGCCAGAGTTTATGGAAGCTTTGGAAACAGATTATGAGTTCATGTCTCTTGTCTCTTTTACTTGATGCTATTCATGTTTTCCCTGACACAGACAAAACCTATGTTATTTTCCTCCTTGTGTTGTTTCTTTGTTCTGTTTACACCGTCTTTGATTCGGTTTAATAAGGTTAAGGCATCGAAATGGATAGCCTTCGCTGAGATTGTGTCGTTTTGGTGAATGCAGCTACGGAGTGTTTTGCCGTATGTATGAGAGTATAAGCTTGGGGCTACTGTCTTGAGTGGCAAGCAAACAGAAAAATAAAACAAAAAGTTGAACGTCCCAACTGCCCACAGCTAAGTCCCACACCCGTTCATTCGATATGTGGACCCAATTTCATGCGATTGTCGGTCTGTTAATTTTTTTTGAGGCTCGGAAGTTATATTTACTGTATCTGTAATGACGACATGATTTTTTTCCTCGAGTTTTGTCCTTTCAGATCATTATCTTTTCCGTGCGATTCCTTACCTAGTTATGTATAATGACCGAGAAAAATTATATTTTATAAGTTTGTTAGTAATATTTATTTCGAAAATTCTAATCAAAGTAATGGGTAACTCATTTTCATATATAACAATATATAAGATTCTAATAAACACGTATAATAAATAATAAAGATAGTTTCATATTACCTATTTACTGGTCTTAAATTAATTTTACTTATAACGAATAAGTTATTTATTTATATCGCGTAAATCATTGTTTTAAAAGAAAAAGTGGAAAGTAAAATAAATTAATACATAAAACAAATATATAACTAAGAGAAAATAACTTTACTCACTTACTCTAATTGTAAATTTAAAATTTATGTGATTTATTAGTATAGTTAAACTAAAATAAAGTAAATAATATATTTTAATTTTTTATTATAACTAGACAAGTTTGTCATTTATAATTTGAAGAATATTGATTTAATGAGAAGGTTTCAGCTGTATTGATTTAATGAGTCACGTGAGGTCTCATCTTCATCATATAAAAGCTTCTGGTTTGGAGTAACCAGAACATAACCTTCTTCGACGAGAGATGAGACGGCATCGTCTTCTCCGACGTCTTCTTGAGTGAGAGAGAGAGATAGCATAGGTGTATGTATCTTGGGATCTCTTGGGGGGTTTTCTTGACGGAAGCTTATTTGATTCTCAACAGAGTATATGATGATATTCCATTATTTTGCTCGTTTTTATGTTTGTTGTTGTTGCTAATTTTTTAAAGTTAAAAAAGAAATCAGAGACGACTCTAGCTTTATTTAAAGGTTTAGTATTCAATGAAAGTTACACCAAAGGAAATATCTGAGATAGAATTAGAAGAACATAAAAACATACATGCATGAAATCTTAGCAAGAGCAACCGTCACAAGTCTCCTCTTGCTTTGGAACCGGAAGGAGACTTGGTACAAATGTAGAAGAAAACTTAGAAACGCAAAGGCGTTCATACCGCCCATATTGTCCTGTCTCAACTTGTTTCTTGACCTCACCCTCCTCGCCTATTTCGTAAACGCTGGCGTAGATACATTCATCCTTTTCCGAACACCACAACTTTACCCCATCAGTATGGTCGAACCATAACTTGACCCTACCGGTATGGTGGATCAAGTATGTTGGATGAACGCCCAATATCCTCAAGTCAGGAGTCACATTACAATACATGCTCCACGAGACAAGCTCATCATCAGTCACAATACTGTTTGTAACCCAAACCTCAATCTCCCCAGATGGACGTTGCGCTAGCAAAGAAAGCCTATCTCCTCCGAAACCTGATAGGCGTGGCGACAAACCTGATCGTGGCGGCGGCGGCCAATCATTGAGATTTAGAAAGGGAATACAACATGTTTCTTTGAATACCTCTTTGGAGAAATCAAAAGACTGGATGAAATAAGTTTTCGAGTTATCATCGTCGTCATTCCCCTTCTTTTCAGCAATCCAATACATGTTTCCTTTCATAGACATAGCCTGGTCCCTCCATGAACACCAAGAATAAGCCAATGAATAATCAACACTTCTCCAGAGTTGAGACTTGAACTCATATATCTCAACCTCCTCACATCCTTTTTCGCTTTTAAACCTCAATATCTTGTAGTTGTCACGGGATGCATTGTCGTACCCAAAACCGTAGATATCAAACCATGTGTAAGAAGAACTCGAGGCCGGTTTGATCCGCTTGAATTGGCCCAAAAACGGATTCCAAACTGCGAGTTTTCTCTCTTTTATAGGTTCATTAATTTAATTCCAAACGTAGTGTAATGGATCGTATTCGTACAAAATATGAAAATACCAACCCCAATGCTACTGAGACCTCAGAGCTAAGTGCCTGAAGCCTAACATAAAGGGATGATGAATGCAAGGAAAGAGCCATTTTAAATATGATGAGAGTAAATTTGAAAGTTACATAATTAATACAATCAAAACCTGCTGTTACGTAACTAAGCGAGCCGAGTGAACTGAATTTGATTACCAGATTGATTATTATATATATATATACTCAGGTGATCTAGGCCTGGGCATTTTACCCGGATCCGAAGACCCGACCCGAAACCGACCCAAAAAAATTCGGTTCGGATAGGAACCGGCCCGATCAAATTACCCTATCGGGTCTTGTTGTAGAGGACCCGCGGGTCTTGGACCCGACCCGGACCGAATCCGAAACCCGATGGGTACCCGAATTAATAGTGTAAATTAAATAAAATGCATTGAGGTGGAGTCGAAGACGGGTTGTTTCTATAGAGAGTAAGGAGGTCAACCACTAGGAGACAACAAATTGTTGTTGTACCTCGCATAGTTTAATATATATACACATTTTAATATAATAAAAATATAAATTTTGAATAAAATTTTGAATAATTTCGGATATATAAATATTTTCAGATATTATTTTAAATTTTTAGGTATTTTTTAGGTCGAACCCGAACCGAACCCGACCCGGAACCGAACCGAATCCGAACCGATAAATTCTAATTACCCGAATGGGTCCAACTATCTAAGACCCGACCCGACCCGGATCCGGTACGACCCGAACCGAACCGAAACCGAAAATTTGAAATTACCCTATCGGGTCCTAAACTCCTAAACCCGAAAGACCCGGACCCGAAAGGACCCGACCCGAACCTGACCCGACTACCCGAATGCCCAGGCCTAAAGTGATCCATTTAAAATGGTATAAAAAACTACGTTGAAATCATGGTTGCTTAATTCATGACTAATACAACCGAAAAGGGTTGGCAGTGATAGTTTTAAATCAACAATAATACGTACGCACAAAATTAAACTAATATGAAACATAAATTTAAGTTATACTTCATTTCTAAGCATACAAATGGAACCCAAAATTTTAAAATATTCATTGTTCACTTACATTATGCTAATCGTCTTCAACATGGCCAAGTTATTAAAATCCATTGAACAACCCTTTTTTTGTCTAGTTCCTCAAATAATATCTCGTGCAACTAACCATTATTAATTATATCATTGATGCTAGCTACCACACTATATGTTACATAAAAGATGAATTAATAAACAGAAGACCAAAGCAAAGAAACATAGAAAGAACCAAAAATGGTTTCAACATCTTCTTCTTCTTCATCTGAATTAAAGATTATCACAGAATGCTTCATCAAACCCAAAACCATCGCTGAAAAATCAAAAGAGCCATACCATTTATCACCAATGGAACATTCCTCCCTCCCATACCAATACATCCAAAAGGGTCTTCTCTTTCTCAAGCCATCTGAAAATGCAACTAAACCAAAAGACTTCATGGAGACTTTGCTCCAAAAGCTTAAAGACTCTTTAGCAACAACACTTGTCCACTTCTACCCTCTCGCGGGTCGTCTCTCGACCTTGAAAACAGACAATCCAAGATCTTACTCGGTGTTTGTGGACTGTAACAACAGTCCTGGAGCTGGATTTATCCATGCCACATCAGAACTAACCGTATCAGATATTGTTGACTCCACATACGTTCCTTTGGTTGTTCAATCTTTCTTTGATCATCACAAAGCAGCGAATCTCGATGGTCAGAGCATAAGTCTCTTATCAGTCAAGGTACATTTTTATAGGTTCAAGATCTCACATTCATTCTTGTTATGTCATTTCTTTTATTTTTTGGGGATGGTTGTGTAGGTAACAGAACTAGTGGATGGAGTGTTCATAGGATTGTCTATGAATCATTCAGTTGGAGATGGACGTTCTTTCTGGAACTTCTTCAACTCTTTCTCCGTCATCTTCAACTCACAAGAAGAAGATTTGTTCTGTCTCAAGAATCCTCCAATCTTTCGTGAAGTGTCTGGTCCTCTTTGCAGGCTTCCTTACAATCCACTTAATAAGTCCCTTAGGAGTCATTCCGAATCTCCGGTTTTGAAAGAGAGAATGTTTCATTTCTCATCAGAGACAGTGAGATCACTCAAATCAAAGGCCAATCAAGATTGCAGAACAACAACAACAATGATCTCTTCTTTGCAGTCATTAACCGCAGTTTTATGGAGAAGCGTTACAAGAGCAAGGAGATTACCAAACGATCAAGAAACCACTTGCAGGTTTGCTGCAGACAATAGATCAAGAATGGATCCACCATTGCCGACGAATCACTTCGGGGATCACGTCTCTGCTGCGATTACCACTGCCAAGACTAGTGATCTATTGGAGAATAGGTTAGGATGGGCTGCTTTAAAGCTCCATCAAGCTGTAACCGAGCACACTAGCGAGAAGATCGCTTCCGAACTTGAACAGTGGTTGAAGTCTCAACCGGGGACACCATTTTACATTAATCCGAACGTTGTTCATGTTCGAAGTTCACCGAGGTTTGACAAGTACGGATGCCAGTTTGGGATGGGGAAAGCTGTTGCGGTTAGAAGCGGTTATAACAGTAAGTATGATGGGAAGGTAGCAGCTTACCCTGGGAGAGAAGGGGGAGGAAGCATAGATTTAGAAGTCTGTCTTTTGCCAGAGTTTTTGGAAGCTTTGGAAACAGATCAGGAGTTCATGTCTCTTGTCTCTTCTTCTTCTTCTTGATCCTATTCATATTTCATAGACAACAGAACCAATGTTTTCGTCCTTGTGTTGTTTCTTTGTTCTGTTACACCAAGGTTGTTGTCTGATCTGATGGAACTTAATGTTGGTTTATGAGTCAATAAGAGTTTTTAAAACAAACTTGTTTTCTCCTTATCAAAACGAACAAAGAGTATATACATACACACTCTCGCAAAGAGGAGCCGAAAAAGCACCTTCGTGCCATTTTATTACTATGTTCCACGCAAATTATGTACTCTAAACGCTAAAAGGAGTAAAATCAATCTCTAAAACTAAATTCTCCGAGACATTTAGTCAAAGGGTTTAACTCGCACCTCTGTTGTTCATCTCACTCCACCCGCCTTCAAAGTCTCAGGATTCCTGCCACATACTGCGATTTTCGATCACCTTCCAAGGATATACTCGAGAGGGAACTTCATGGATGAGACTCAGACATGTGAACATGGGTGAATTGTGTAAAAGCAATACATCAAAGCTCCTGACATTTTCATAACCCGGAAAGGGGCACCAACTCAGTAGAAGAGTGCCTCTTTGTCTCTCTCTTGATCTTTAACACCAGAGGACAGAAAAAAGAACGGTTAGATTCCTTCATGGTTTAGAAGAAAGTCCATTCATTTTCCACATACTTCACAAAAAAACAAGTAAATACCTGTGCTTCCAGTTCTGCGATTCTCTGTAATGACGCTTGCTCTATGCACACCCTGCGTTTGCGTTCTTCGTCGAGCAAACATGTCATCTGATACCTTAGTTCAGCCATTTCTTGCGTAAGGTCTTCCGCTTCTTCCTTCGCCTTCAGTTTCTCCTGTTTCAGTTCCTCCTGCACATACCAAAGATCACAGAGAAACCAGTTAGATAACCCTTCTGACAAAAGATAGGAAATAGAAATCCTTAGTTTTTCAAACGTACCTTGAGCCGCTTCACAAGATCTTCCTGCATCTGTATCTGTTTCCCCATACCCTCCATTTTATCAATCAAAGTAACATTCCGGGAAAGTTCTAGTCTCTTGATAATTGCATCGAAACATTCTCTGTAAGACACAAAACCAACCAACATTGTTAGAAACGAGGATAACACAAAAAAAATAGTCGTAGTAAGATGGAACTCACCGAACTTCACTGGACACTGGGAACACATGACTCAGCTCAGCGAAGAAACACTTTGCATTAAGGAGCTGCTGTTCGTCTCCACTTTCTAACCGTTCTTTAGTACTTACAAAAAACTCTTTGATACTCTTTTCAGAGGCGGCGATTCTGTCCCTCAGCTCTTCGTTTTGCTTCTCAAAGGACTTGGCCTTCTCTTGTGCCTCCTGAGACTGAAACTGAACCTCTTCGACTATTCCTTTCAAGTGATCTTTCTCTTGGATGCTTTCTTCTTGGATTCTCATTGCATCAACGAGAGCTTGCTCCAAGGCTGTTATATCAAGTTTCATGCTCTCCATTTCACACAAGGACTCTAACGTTAAGGATGAGATGGTCTCCTCCAGTTTCTCTACAGAAAGAGACGAGCACTGTAGCTTTGTCTCTTTGCTCTCGAGTTCTTGCAACAACAACAAATGCTCGGATTTAGACATACACAACTCCTCTCTCAAGAATTTAACTTCTTCTTCCCAGTTCCCTGATTCCGCCAGTTTGGATTCAAGACTGTGCACATGTTCGTTGAGATAACTCATTTCCTTGCTTTTAAAAATCAGTTGATCGCGCAAGTAACCTTCAAGTATAATAAGCTGAGAGTTATTAAGTTAAGAAAAAAAGAAACTAAATTGCTAGGGCTCAGAGAGGGGAGTTTTACCAATCTCTTTATAGCAATTCAACAACTCAATCTCCATGGTCCGAATTCTAGCAGTGTCTTCCCGGCGAGATTCAGATAATGACTTTGAGTGGAGTTCCAATCTCTGTGGTAAAAGAGAAGATAAACTCAACCAAGAGAAAGAGAAAACACTTCCCCTCAAAATGTGCATAGTATTAAACAAGAAGGAGAAGAAGAAGTTACTCTGACTAGTTCGATACTATGAGGCTGCGATTTTCTCAACAAGTCCTTCTCTTTCCTTAGCTGCAATTAAATAAACCAAAACAGAACTCAAAACTTCATTCATTCACAATGAATACCTTGCATAAACAGCATATAAGAACAAAACTCAAAAATTCATTAATTATAAGAGTTAGAAACTGATTCACAATGAGTACATAACAACCTCGATGCGTGTGGAACCAAACTGGAGAAGCTCATCAGCATCAAAGGAGATTTCACTACTATCACCTCTGGAACTACAAGCAGAGCTGCTACTCCTTCCTGAGAAACTTCCCGAGCTACTCGACATTTAAAAGACAGGAATTGCCACTGCAAAAGGGAATAATAACACATCATTATTATTATTAGCGTATAGAGACACTCTTTGTCATTGTCTTTTTTTGTGTTCTAATCCAAAAGTCTCAAAATCAGATCAATTAGACTAACAAAAACAAAAAACTTTCCAACTAGAAATCCAATTTTCAGAGAAGAAAAAAAGATATAGCGAGGAATGAGGAAAGAGTATACAGAATACTAAATCATAAAGACAAATCCTTTTTCTAAAGAATCGAATTGGTGAAAGCGAACATGAGAGGAGGATAAAGTGGATGAGCATACAGAAAGATAAACCTTCACAGACAATAACGCTGACGAAGAATTTTGATCCGAGAAGGTAGCTGCTTTGTTTTAAACGATAAACGGGCCAAATTCGGGTCGGGTCGGGTCATGTGGGTCCAAGCTTATCTGTTTAGGCTCCCTTGATCGGTCGGATAAATAAAAAAAAAGTCAAAACGTTTCGGATTTGTTTGAGATTAAAAAAAAAAATACAGAGTGACTGGTGAGTCCTCACCAACTCCAATATATATATATATATATATATATATTCCATTTATGGATTTTTTACATTTATAAATTAAATTAGAGAAAATTATTAGGATAAACCTAAAATTTTTTTTATCACAAATATAGATTTTAACAATTAAAATGACTAAAATAACACTTAAATGTTTTATTAAATATACATTTATGTCCTTGGATTAACAAATCTTAAATTTTTTTGTTTAGAGTTAAGGAGTGTGGTTTTGAGGATAGAGTTTCGAATTTAAAAAAATTAAAAAACTTAAAATTTTCAAAATAAAAAATATTATTTTAGTCATTTTATATTTTGAGATCTATTTTTATGATAAAAACTTAAAAGAAGACTATTTGAGAGAATTGTCCATATAATTCTCTATTACTTTCTTTTTTTTAATTCTGACCTAAGTTGAATCTAATCTAAGTTGTTGGTATGAATTTAGTTTTCAACTTAAAAGATCAGCATATCAAAATGTGTTTTCAAGACAGAACGCTCAGCACCATCTCCTTGATAAAAGGCGAGGAATCTCTTTGCCATGGTATACGTATAAATAATATAAACACACACACATTACACAGTTACATTACACACGCACATTACACGCCTTCATATATGTACGTACATCATACATGCGTGTTCATAAGAATTTCAGCAGAATCCCCCCATTACAGAGATTCTAGTGAGAGCGAGATAGTTTTACAACAATGTTTCTTACACGCAAGAGACCTTTGATCCTCCTTCATCAATCCAACCTGCAACAACCACACACAAAAAAAAATTAACAAATGCATAGAGATTACCAATTACCAATTCTATCTATATTCTGAATCAACTTACGAAGTAAGGAGATGTTGACAGACTGTAGAGTAATTCATTTATCAACGCCTACATCAAGTCCTTTTGAGCTGATCATCACATTCGAATCTATTTGCTTATCAAATTTCTTCTTCCTCCTCTCTTCAAACTCTTGGTATCCTTCCATCTATATATTGTTTAAACACAAAAGTAATGTTACTAAAAAACATTTCTCAGAGTGTGTTTCCTTTGAGGTTACGGAATAAACTACTTACTATATTGACTTACCAGCTGAAACTCATCAATGGAGATGGGATTGTTATGCAGAGATAGATTTTGCAGACTCTTGCAATCTTTCAGCAATCCATCTGGTATCTGAAAAAAAAAAACATAAACGTTAGAGATCTCACAGGAATAAGATATAAGAGTAATCCTTAAAGAAACAAATCACAGCTCAATTGGTCTACCTGTTTTACTTGATTATCGTCTAAGCAAAGCGACTTTAACTGAATCAAATTACCGAGCGATGCAGGGAGCTCTTCAACAACGTTATCTGCAAGGCTATCCCAAATCACGATTAGGCTTCGGAAAAGAAACAACCCACAAGACAAAGTCAACAGCTAAACTAAAAACATACCATTAGCCTGTATTTCCTCTAGAGAAGCGCAGCTCCCTAGTGATTCCGGAAGTGATTTCAGTTTGTTATTTGAGACATTCAACAGCATTAGCTGCATTTTGACAAGAGAGAGGAAATCTATTAGAGACATATAACTACAGCTATGCTTTGGGGTGTTAAATGAAGTTAGAACGTACATTTCGAAGACTACCAATAGTATCAGGCAAGTATATGAGCATATTTCTTGAGATTGATAGTTGCTCAAGCCTTATCAACTGACCCACTGCACACAGAAACAACCATGATAAAAGGCACAAATCGTATCAGGACAGACACAAAAAAAAGACAAAGAAGTAATAAAGAGAATTGTTCTTACATTCATCAGGCAAACAGCTAATGCGGTTTCCATCAAGCATCAAAACTTTAAGAGAGTGAAGCTTCCCAAGATTCCCGGGAAGGCGTTCAATTAGATTATCAGCCATTAACTGCCAAAAAAAAATCAGCATTTTTCATAAGATTTTAACTTGGAACATCAACAGTTTCAAGAGATCATCCAAGAGACAGAGAGTTAACAGCATCCACAGTAATAACCAACAAACATTCAGTAGAATCAAAGTAACTGAGAATGATAAACAGTCGTGTCTCTCACCAGACGCTGCATATTGATTAACTTGCTGATTTCTGCAGGAACATCAGCTGCATAAACACAACAAAAGTCCTTCAACAAGAGACAAAATCAAAATAGGACAAGACTCTCTCTCGAGATGAAGAAGAAACATACAGATCTTGTTGTGTGTTAGATCAAGTGTCCGTACTCCTCTCCCCATCTCAATCACTACATCAGGAAATGTCTGCTCAACAAATAACCAAATTCAGTAAGTAAGTTCACCCCCATCAAGACAAGAACTCATCTAAAAAAATCCTCAAAACATAAACCCTAAAAACAAATTTATTTCCTGAGCAAAACCAATCAAAGTTTGTACCTTTTTATCCTAATCAAACTCTCTCAATCATTTAAAGATATAAACAGTTTATATCAAAATAAATTTGATAGGATTTGTTTGGTACCTTTAATTTGGAGTCACGGAGGCCAATAATGCCGGTGGAACGCCACCGTTTTATCCGACTAGCCTTTGAACCTCCTGCTGGATTGCTCGCGCCACACCCCATTCTTTGCTGATTTTGATTGGATGATTTTATTTATAACAAAAATAAAATATTGTAATGGAAAAAATCTCGAAAACCCAGAAAGACTCAAAAGGAATCCCTTCTGATTACCAAAAGAGATTAGATTTTGGGTAGAAAAGTTTACGGATTTTTTTTTTTGACGATTGAGGTTTAGGTGAGGAAGGTCAAGGTCTGTCGAAGCCAAAAATAAATAAATAAAAATTAGAAAAGTTGCTTCAAATTCTTTAAAAAAAAATCCCTAAAATAAATGAAAGTGGAGAAGGACTCTCGTCAAGTCACTATCTCTCAAGTGCCAACCTTTGAAAACTCGATTGTAAGAAATAGAGTTGTAAACCTTTTTTTTTTTCACTAACCCCTTCCTCAAGCAACTGTTATTTTATTTTTCTTTTCCCACTTTTTTTTTTTGAATTAACCTTCTCATATAAAATACAAAACAAACTCAAATTCAAACCAATTTGATATGAGAGAAAAGCCAAACTGTGTTATATACAGAGGTTTTATTTTACGAGTGGGAAACATTTACAAAGATAAATAACAAATCAAAGAAAAAGAACAGGCTTCCTCTAAATAATTATATATACATACATGATTTTTTTTCTGATAGACAGTGACTAACAAGTGACCTTGATTGGTTGTTTTAGAGGGATTGTTTTTGTCTTTTGTCTTAAGTTAACCTTACAGCCATTTCTTGAAGTAGAGCTCGTTTCTGTGAAGCGTTGATCACTTGATTTGATTCTGCAGTCTCTAGAACGTCTGTGATTATAGCCGCTGCGTGACCCAGTGGCTCCTCCGCTGCTCTCTTTAGCATGAAAGCCTGTTCCAAGTCAAGGTCATTGAGAAAACAAACATCAGTTTAGAGAAGTTGAAACGTTTAGAATCTACTGCAACTTTTCCGTCAGTATAAAACTCGGTTTGGATCTAGAAAAGACCTGGCCATGGTGCGATATGGTTAAGGTACATGGTTGTTGTGACCAAGGTTCTCCATCGATTTGCACAGGCAACGGCGCACAAAGTTGTATCTTGACTGATTGCCCCTGAGCTAACCTTCTCGCTTGAGATAACCCAACCTGAAGATGTGGAGGGATGTTAGATTTACAAGATAGTATGCAAATAGAACATGTAAGATGATTCATTATCGTACCTGGAGTTTGCCAAGGTGCCACGTTCCAGATATACTCACGACTTCTACTAACTTGTCGTGAATAGATTGCGGATCAAAGTTTTCATATGTTTCATCTTCATTCTGCCATAAATCCACACCTCCCATGTAACTTCCGATGTTTGCAACAAGTACCCCTTCCGCATCCTTCAGAGAAAGTTACATCATTAACTATCATGTGGTTTTCAGTAAAGTAGTTTTCTGTGACTTACCTCAGGAACCTCGATGTCAACACCATCCACCTCAACTCGAACTTGCCACGGGAAATCTTCGAATGTTCTGTCCATTATACTCCTTGCACCTTCTCTAGCATATAGGACTTTGTTCATAAACTGCACATGGAGAGCATTCAAATGTCAGTTTCATGAACTGAGATTAACAGTTCAGCTTCTCTACAACAATGCCAGTTATCCTACGATTAAGAAAGCTACTAATTCAGGAATCCTGAGGTTTATTGATCACCTGGCTATAAAATCTCTCTGGATTCTCCTCCCGTAGATTGTGAATATCAAGGGCTACCTTCGCATCACACCCAATCCCTGTTAAGGTTCACAATGTAAGCAAGAAATTTATAAGCTAAAGGTTTCAGGAAAGCAACAAAATCATTTACAAAAATCAAAATTTTAACAATGGGCATGTTTCAAAACAAACCTCAAGCGTGAAGAATTAGAAGTGCGAGACTATATCCTTACAGAGTTTCTATATAGATTTCAAATGAAAATAATTTGAACACAGAAATAAAGTCCTGATAAGGGTAAACCTTGCAAATAGTTGAACAATATCGGAATCAATTTTCGAAGATTTGCACCAAGAGGTTTTGAGTTTAACAAACCTATATAGTTGTTCATATATTTTGGCGGCTCGAGTTGTTTTCCTTGTTGATTCAGAATAGATACTTTCCAACGATCAAGGACAGTGACTGCAGCATGCTCTATGTTCTGCAATACCGTAGATAAGCCTCCTTGTCTCTCAACAGAACCCAAACCACCACCCCAGTTCAATATCCGGGCTAGATCATTCCCGGTTCCAGCAGGCAGGATAGCAACCGCAGGAGGAGAGACAAAGTTCTGTTTGTCTATGGCATCCAATACCCAACCAGCAGTGCCATCTCCACCACAAACAAGAACTCTAAAATGTGGAACCTTCCTGAAGAGGAAAAGTCCCACTTCTGGTCCCTGCACTGAACTCAATTCACACACCTGCACGAAACGGCTCCATCAATAACTTCAAAGACAATAACAAGTAAAAAATGCATTGTGACAAGTTTACAAGGTAGCATTGAGCATTACTCTACCTGCACTGGATTTAGAAGAAGGTTAAGGCGCTGCCGAAGAGTATCACCCCGTTGAGCACCACTCTTTTTATTAATGAAAACCAACAACGGTCTTGCATCTGAAGGCAAATCAGCTAGCTCATACTTAAGTTTCGACCTTACTCCCTGATATTCATCTTTCTGACCAAAAGACCCGCTTCTTTTAACACTAGGCTTCTTCTCCAGCTTGCCATTGCTATCGCTCTCCCCGTGAGAAGAACCTCCATTCACAAGGCTGAGTGAGTTTTCCAACACGGCATGGATGCCATTAACAACAGCCGGACCTGTATCAGCTGTGCTTTCCGTCGATTCATCACAATTGCTACCACTATTACCTGAGTCTACCGAAGTTTCATTAGCTTGCTTGTACTTTTTGCTTTGACTCCTGATACTGGCACGCACCGTAGATGCAAGTTCATTTGCACCATGCGTGATTGTGCTCAAAAACCCTCCAGAAGGATTCCGTGTCAATTCCTTAACGTATAGAGGACACAAAACTAACCTTCTAAGAGGACCAAGATCACAAACATCACCTGTTTCATTTGACATATTACTATGACAATCAACATGGACAAGGCGTTGACACCATAAGCAGCACCATATAGGAGAACCCCCAAGAAAAGAGCTACTACATGACTCATCACAGTAACTACAAAACGAGGATTCATCAGACTGATCAGCACCTTCCGTCCACCGCACTGCCCACTGGTGCACCACATGCTCATACCCAACCATGGAGACGCACTTGCAATCCTTAGGAGCACTTGAAGAACAACTAAAATGGGCTGCTGCTCCACATATCGTGCACCTGTGGATAACACTTTCAAAAGCTACAATTGTCTGAGAAGGCGACATCGACTTCAAGCACACACAGCAGTTCAAGTTCTTGGCACGCGATACAGTGTCGCGTTCCCAGCTATGCGGGGAAACAGGAGTCTTATGTCGTGCCTTTGGGTTTTTCTTTGACCTGGCTATGGCTTTAGTCCAACTTAAGTTGATATTTCTTCGCCACTGAGAAGCAGTGTAGGCTATGGTGAAAATACCAACAAGGGCAGCAACAAAGCAAGTGAACATGAACCAGCGAGACTCAAACAGTTCATCTGGATTCTTGCTGTTCCACCAGGGGAAGAACATCCCCATTTCTCCATCGTCCTCCATTTTTCTATGTTGCAACTCGACACGTGTGATAATCCAAGAAGATCCACAAGATTCTTGGCTTTGTTAGGACCACAAACAAGAAATCAATGTACTGTTGTTATTCAAGGTCCATATTCTCATCATCCATCGAACTTGGATAGACTCCAAACAAGTTTGTAGCAGAGTACAATCACACTTCAACAATAAAAGACAAAATCTTCTGCCCTGTCCAGACAAATTACATGTCACCCAACCAATTTAAAAACAAGAAAGAAAGCGATAGGGCATCACAGATTAATGAGGCTTTTTTGGTCTAAACAGATTAATAAGGCTCTGAACAATAATATAAAAAGAAAAAAAAATGACTAGCAGAAAAAATAAATGCTTGGTTTGCTCGGATTCAAAGTAAACTAATTGTAATTGACTAATAAGAATCAGACTACAAAGAAAGACTTTTGGCACTTAAATATTAATCCTAATCAATGCTTGAAAAAACAAACACCTTTCTAAAAAAATCGTACAAATTATTCAGGTTTGATACATATTCTGCTCATTATCAATGCTTTCTCTGTAATCCAATGGAAACCAGAATAAGAAGAACATGATGCAAAAAAAAGGGAAACACGGCAGGAAAACCCTAACCGTTCAAAAGCGACAGAGAAGAAGATGATTAGATGAAACCCCTTGAGATCGAGCAAGCGAAAGGAGAGAAGGCAAAAAACAACAACAATCGACGCACGAAGCTTTTACTTCACCGGAAAAATTCCCAAATCCAATTTTGTTTGTTTGAAAAGCAGATTCTGCTCTCTCTCTCGAGTTTATATATTTTAATTTTAATCTTCGTTTGATTTATTCGCTCGCTCTATTTATATATCTCCTGAACTTTTATAAGATTCTGCACGCAAGAGAAGGTTAAGACAAGGCTAGGCCACGTAGGATATGTATGAATCTCGGATTCTGGAAAGCAACGTGTCTACACAAGTTTTTGTCGGCCAAAAGCCCGGCCCATTACTGTCATACGATTCATCTCATAAACAGACTACAAAATTAAAATACTTTGTATATTAATTTACAATGTATATCTTACAATTTTTTTGGTGATATGTTTTGTTCTTCATATTTCTCTTGTGGTGATATAATTATATTTTTTCTAGATTTTGTTGCTGATTTACCAGTTCTATTATTTAAGGTTTTGGATTTATACTTTTATTTTTTTATTTTTTTTAAATCAATTGTAATATTGTGGTGGTATAAATTTCATTAATTTGTGATAATTTACTATTTGTGGTTATTTTATCTAATTCAATTAAAGTATAAAATAACATATATTATAAGATGTGATGTAAGAAATTCTTTCAATTCTTACTATTTTATGGTTGATAGATTGGCACACAGTATTCAGAATCTGATTTTTTTTATGGTCAGAAATCCGTTCCAATAGCATTTCTTAGAAAGAAAAAAGGAAAAGTTGGAAAAAAAAAGATAGAAAAAAGGAAAATAAGATGTTAACAAATACGGCGTCGTTTTAACGTTTAGGTGGGTTTGGTTACAAATAGTCCATCAGTGGCCCATACTACACCAACTCCTCTTGTTCTTGAAAGAGAGTTTTGTTTCTTACACGAACCATCTGCTTCGGACACGAGCCTCGGACTTTCTCCCGAATCCGAACCACGGTCTTGCTCCTGCCCCCGCCGTTGAAAATTTCGCACTACTTCGCTTTCGATCACTTTATCTCTCTCCCCCTCTGCTTTCGTTAATTCTTAAATTCGGAAAAAAACCCTAAAAGCATTCATTGTGTAAAATTGAGATTGGAGAAGAAAGACAGCTTCTTCCCTTTGTTGATAGCTATAAGTGTAAGTTCCACATCTAAGTTTCCCTTTTTAGAAACCCTAATCTGGAAAAGGAAAGTTGGTTGTGATTTAAAGTCTAAAGAAGCTCTTGTTTTTGAGGTTGGATTCTCGGTTTAGGTTAAACCAGAGATGTTCGATTTTTGGTATGAAAAATTGTGTTGTGGCGGTTTTGATCTCGAGTTGATTCGCGAGATTTCCTAGAGATTCTGTAACAAAAAAAATTAAAAATTTCTAAATTAGCTTGATTTTGAGCTGTTATGAAGCGTTTATAGATGTGAAAAGCGAGTTGAGTTGGTTTTAGTAGTGAGATCTTGATGGACAGATACTGCGAATAAGCTCTTTAGTTTATAGGATTACGAGCACATTGAGTTTGTTATGGTTTCTGAAGTTTAGGTTTCGTTGTAAGGTGGAGAGATTTGTCTGAATAAATGTTTTGTTATACAATGAAATCAGGTTGTAAATTATGCCCAAATGGTTTTCGCTTTCTTGTGAACAAATAGTTACTTTTGCCTTCTTCTTTTGTTTTTGTTTCACTGTGTGCTCAACTTCAAATGTTTTTGTTTGTTTAACAGGAATTTTTGAGCATTCCGAGCATGTTAGTTGGAGGTAGCTCATGAATTCTCTGGGGGAAAAGGTGTTGGGAATGTTCCTTTGTATATTTAATATTGAAGGAGACACAATCTTGAACTCTTTTCTGTTTTTTTTTTCTCAAGGTCCAGATATTTAAAATTATCTATAGGAGCTAAGATCTATGCCTGGAAACGAATATGGAGAGAGGATCCACAATTTCTTTGGACAGGAGGGTTTATCTCAAGACCAGCATCAGTCTCAAGTTGTTGACGGAAGCTGGTCTGGTTTTAGTAACGGTTTAGGTGGGAATCAGAGGCAGATAGACCCATCTCTTGGTACACAACAATCTGGTATGCCTTTTGTTCCCTTATGGCGGGGTGTTCCACGGTTTATGTGTTTCATTTAGCTTCTAGCTTATTCTATGGGATATTGGTTGCTTGCTTGCTTATTCCAGATTATCCTGAGAGAGGGCAATCTTCAAATTCACAGCATGGTTTTGCACAGCAGCAGCCTATAAGGCCTGAGTACTCCAGAAGTCTGTTGCAAGATAATCAGCAACTCACAAATGGCTACATGCATGGGCAGGCAATGCGTAACGGGTCAAATTTTTTGGGAATGGATGTGACATCTAGTAGGGATAATTTATCAGCGAAAGGATTTTCTCCAGATGTTCACCAAATTCCTATGAGGTTTGAGATGGGAGAATCTCCGGTTAATTATGATTTCTTTGGTGGTCAACAACAATTAAACAGCCAGCTCCCTGGCATGCTCCAGCCTTTTCCAAGGCAGCAGATGACATTCAATGATATGCAACTGCTGAAGGAGCAAGCTATGGTTAAGCAAATGCATCAATATCAGATTCAACAACAGCTTCAAAAGCAACAGCTAGAGGCCAGGCAGCTCAATCCTTTGAATCCAAATGGAGTTAGTGGAAATCGCTCAAGTAATTATCAGTCACATCCTTTGATTAATGGCGTCCCTATTCAGGATGCGTCTGGTAATAATTGGCAGCCTGATCTTATGACGGGAAATACAAACTGGATGCATCGCGGCGTTTCTCCCGTTGTTCACGGTATGTCCAGTGGGCTCATGATTACCCCTGAGCACGGGCAAGCGAACTTACTGGCACAACAGTTTGAACCGTCCTTATACGGTATGCCTCTTGGTGGGATAAATGCATCTCAAAATTCCTTTTCTTCCGTTCAGATGAACAGATTACCTGCGCAACATGGTTCCTCACTCATCAATCAGCCTACTTCATTTATGAATCAAGGTGCTGTACAGGATGGTCATATGCTCCCTAGATCCTCATACCAGGAGAAAGTGTTGTTCTCCCATACACCAGTTCCAGATTCAAGTAATAGGCCAAATTTTGAAAGTTTCCAGCAAGATGATTCTCATGAGAGAAACATTTCAGTGCAGGAGAAATTTGGTCAGGTGGAGGGTTCTGGTCCATCAGAAAAATCATATATGAAAGAGCCTGAAAATGGTACTTCATTACAGAAGTCCACAACATTGGATCCAGCAGAAGAAAAGATTTTGTTTGGTTCGGATGATAATTTGTGGAATGCATTTGGAAGCGACACTGATATGAGTTTGACGGGAAATTTGATGTCCAGTAGTTCTGACCTTTTGGATGCATCCCCCTCTATGAAACTTGGAAGTTGGAGTGCTCTTATGCAATCAGCTGTTGCAGAAACTTCCAGTAATGACGCAGGCTTCGGTAGTGTGGCCCAGAATTTGGGTGTCAAGGCTTCAAATGTACCAAGTGAGAGAATCCGCAGTGATTCCACTCGGACATCTGCTCAACATGTGCATGAAAACGGTGTGTTGGAGAAGCCACGGGCTCAACGTAATCAGATGGGAGGTAATTTTTTTAATTCTTCAAGCTCTGGGATTGATGGACAGAATAATTCGCGTGCTGTTCAAAAGAATGAGGGCGTTGAAGATAGATTTGGTATCTGGAAGGCTGCTTCTAATCCTAGTTCAGCTGCTCCGGTTGAACAGAAGAATCATTTCACTCAAAATCTACAAATGCAAAGGGCAAGCTATGGATTTGACATTGCCAATGGAAGAAATAATTCTAGTGCTTCTAGGGACGTCCAGGGTAATATTCAACAGGATTTGAATAATAACTCTGTTGAGAAAGCTATCCCTCAAGTAAACTCTAGAGATGGCAGTCGTATTCTAGAGTCATATGCGAGTAAAAATGCCGGTGAAGTCAGGGCTGAAACAAACGAGATGAGGAACTCTGGAAAGGAGATTTTAAATGACAGTTCTCGATTGAAATTCTCACAACAGTCTTTAACACATGAGTTTAAAAAAGATACTCAGGTAAATGCCCCTGATTTGTCTATGTTTCCTGGTGGGAAAGAAACACAAGCTGGTCATGTCGGGAGTAAGCCATCGATAAGTCGCATGTTTCAGTATCATCCCATGGGTAATATTAGTGTCAGTGGTGAGCCTAATCGAGAAAAAGTTTCTCATTTGCCTCCAGCATTGGAGCAGGTTTCTGTAGGAAATCAAGGGTATTTTGGGCAGTCAAAGCCTCTTGGTCAGCCACCTATGAACATGCAAATTGACAGGGTAAATTTTTATCCTTTGGTTTTTTCATTATGCTGTGTTTTAGAAATCTGAATCCCTCTGAACATTCTTTTGGTTTCACTATGGTAGGGACATGTTTCACAAAACGACTTGAATTGCAGAAATGAGGCTTTTAAAGGACTGCGTTCAGAAAATTTAAATAATGCATCTTCTTCAGCTGACAGAAGTGTTGATCAAAGTAATCAAATGAAGAGTGTGTCAAGGTACTCGTTCTTTTATAGATACTAGATAGTTTGTCAACTTTCTGACAGAGTTACGTAATATATCACCTTAAACTCAATGTTCTGATTAAAATTTCATTCGAGATGTATATTCTTACTGTGGTCATCAAGTAACTCTTATTCCCTATTTGCTTGCTATTACCTTTCTAAAACTTCTTCCCGTGCAGGCAGCCTATGCTTGAGCTTCTTGACAAGGTGGACCAGTCGCAGGAGCATTCGTTGGAAACAGATGTTTCTAGGACGTCCGAAGCAACACCCTCTGCAGAAAATGATAGTCAATTTCGGCACAGTCAGTCGTCTGGTTCTCAGGGGTTTAGTTTACAGCTGGCTCCGCCATCTCAACCAGCTCCCTCACCTGATGACATGCAGTTTTCTATGAATTCTTTGCAGCCATTAAAAGGAGGAACAAGTCAATCAAGGTTTGCTCCGTGGGCATCTAATCAATCTATTCCCCAGCAATTCAATTATCAAGGACCAATTTCTGGTTCCCCAGGAGAAAGTAGCATTACCTCGGGGTTCCCTTATTCCAGAGGGTATCACCAAAATCAACTGATGCCTGTTGCCACTCGACAATCAGTTTCTAACCATTTAGTCGGCTCATCTTCTGAATTGTCCACCCCTCAAGTGAAAGAAAGAGAAGAACGCAGTGACTTTGATCAACATGGACATTCGGCACAAACACCCTCCCCACTAAATCCTACAACCCACAGTAACAAAGGAAATTCAGCTGAAGGATTTACTATGCTGTCTGCTCCTCAGCCTCCGGTTGCATCCAGCTCGCCTAAGCAGAGTTCCTCCTCCGGTTTGATGTCTGATTCACGAGCCGGTACTTTAGCTCCGCAACATCGGTTTTGGAACCAGCCATCTAAACCTCAGCCAGATATGTTACAGCCTCATCCATTTTCCAACAGCCACGTACAAAGCAGCTTCACAAGTCAGGAGAAGAAAAATCAATTATCCTCCCAAAATGGAGGAGACATATCATTAAGTGGAAGGGACACGGTGAATATGCTTGGTTTGCAGGGTAAAGATATGGGTGCAAAACATACATCTAATGCTGCTTCCATGTTCTCCAAAATGGTGCATAGCAATCATCAAACCTTTGATAGCTCCCTTCCTTCAAACAACCTTCCGAAAGATAACTTGCGTCACGATGAGCATATGGTTGGAAGTGGGGAGGGTGACGCACCCAAGATGACTGTGAAGAGAGTGGAGGATAGTTCTGTTCATCTTCAAAAGGTAGCTTCCAAAGGAGAGCAACAATCACCTTCAAGATCTGATGGTTTAGTTAGAGATGGATTGAATCACAAGGAAGCAGCGAACCAGATGCTGCATTTTGGCAAAACTGTTTCTCAGAGTTTCTCCAATAAGAACCATTCAGCCTCGGGTGCAGCAGATCATCAACAAATCAGTCCACAGATGGCCCCATCATGGTATAGTCAATATGGGTCTTTCAAGAATGGACTGGTGCAACCCGTGAATGATACAGGGAGATTCACTTCCTTGAAGATAGGAGAACAAGCTTCTAATGTTGGGAGTTCGGCTGATGGCTTACATTCTGTTCCATCGTCAAAGCAGTTTAATATGCAGCATATGCCAGGCTCCACACAAGGACCGGAAACTCCCTCTTCCGAGTCACTGGCTACTGACAAATCTCTGAAGGTTGTTAAACCAAAGAAGCGAAAAACCGCCACATCTGAACTTCTATCATGGAATAAAGAAGTCACGGAGGGTCCTCTCAGGCTTAAGACTCTCAGGTGTGTGTGGCTTATAAGCACTATTCTCCTATTTTTTCCCCGTAATCATTGCTGCATTAAACGTTCTATATTTTTGTTACAGTGACGCGGAAGTTGAATGGGCTAGAGAGACTAATCGATTTGTTGAAAAAGTGAGTTTCATCATTACATGTTTTTTGGTAGGTCTCTTTGTACTATTTTGTTGAATACGTTGGTGGTTTATGTTCTCTCAGGTGGAGTTCGAAACTTTACTTGAAGATGGCCCACCTATCAGATCAAAGAAAAGGCTTATATATACAAGACAACTCCTGCAACAACTATTTAGCCCGCCTCCAGCTAGGGTGATATCTTTGCTTGCCAGCTCAAATTATGAGTTTGTTGCATATACTGCTGCAAGAGCTGCTCTAGGAGATGCATGTAGCTCAACTTCTACTCACATGAGTGAGATGTGTTCTCCCCGAAACAAATCAAACCCGTAAGAATATATACTGTTATCCTTCAGATGCTGTAGATTTTCTAAAGTTCGAGCTTGTGTATCGACACAAACTGATCTAATCTTATATAGGCTGTCTGAGAGAACGAAAGCTGAAACAATCAGTGACGAGTACATCTCCAACGCTGCCAAAGACTTTATTAGTAGGTCTCGGAAACTAGAGACTGACTTTGCAGGGTAAAAAAAACATAGCTCTCTCTCTCTCTATTAATTGATTCGAGTTTTACATGCGTAGTCATTTTGGCTGCTTGAACTCATGAACATATGCTCCTTTTTGCAGACTACAAAATGGAATTACAGTTGCAGACTTGAGCGTCGAAGTCCAGGATCTAGAGAAGTTTGCAGTGATCAATCGTTTTGCAAAGTTCCACCCAACATCCTCATCAATGGACCGGACTGTGAGTTCACTTAAGTTAAACCCACAAAGATATGTTACGATAGCTCCAATGCCTCAGAATATTCCAGACAGGGTACAATGTCTCTCCCTCTAACTATTGATGAATCCAGATTATTCTGTGTTTGGCCAATGTTCCCCATTCATTGTTTTATGTGTATCTCGTGCCCCCCAAGTCTCTCTATTTTTTTGGGGTGGGTATGAGTTAGTTTGGTCAGAATCCTGAGAACAATGAAGGCTTCCATTGTCGGGAAGCCGGAGATTTCCTACTAGACATGTAGCATTAATGTATGCATTACCACGAATATTGTAAGTCAAGATCATTTGTATACTTAGTAAAGAAGAGTTGCTCATAACAGAAATGCTACAAGGTTAACACCTACGGTTTCCAATGAACCAAAGATCATGTCAAAGATTCTCATTTTCAGATGCAAAATATTTTAAGATGAAAACGGTATTCGAAAGATGATGCCAAGATGCAAACATTGATTCAGTTTCAGTACACTTTCTAAGTTAAACTCGAGAGCAAAATCGCATAAATGAGAAATCTATAGAATCGACAGCGCGTTATTCGATTTGTTACATATTACTTTTAAATGTAAGCGTTACTTTCGCATTTGGACTTAAAAAGGATATACACCCAAATAATTTTCATTCCATTTCTGCTTCTCAATTGTTCCACTGAATATCTTGCTTTCAACCAAGAGGATTATTCGGATTATTATTACTTTGTTTGCCTGACTTTTAACTGTTTATCAATCATAGCAATTTCGCCTTGAGGTGATGAGTATAAAATATGTAAGCTTTACTTCTCGTATATTTGGTAGGAATGTGCTTTAATGCAAATTCTTATTGAGTGAGGTTCACATTAGCTCACACCACTTATGAGACTTTACTGGAAAACCATAGGTGTTGCTGCGTATAGTGAGGTTTTTGTAATGAGCAATATATCTTTACTTAAGTACTAAACTTACAATATACATGCATACAGTAATGTTTACATAAGTAGAAATTCTCCGGCTTTTTCACTACAGTGGCCTTTTCTATTCTAAGGATTCCAACCAACTTAACTCCTACCCACCCCAAAAAAAATAGAGAAGTTTTGGCAAAATATTATATGAAAGCAACAACCATGAGGAAGATTGGCCAAAAACTGAATTATATAGGATTCATCAGTAGTTAGAGGGAGAGACATTGTACCCTGTCTGGAATATTCTGTGGCATTGGAGCTATCGTAACATATCTTTGTGAGTTTAACCTAACTGGACTTACTGTCCGGTCCATAGATGATGATGGGTGGAACCTCGCAAAACGATTGATCACTGCAAACTTCTCTAGATCCTCGACTTCGACTCTCAAGTCTGCAATTGTAGTTCCATTTTCAAGTCTGCAAGAAGAATCAAGCCAAGCCAAATCAAGTACCCATTTAAAAAGCTGGAATCGATTTACATGAAAGAACTAATTGTTTTTTTACCTTGCAAAGTCAGTCTCTAGTTTCAGTGTTCTACTAATGAAATCTTCAGCGGCTTTGGAGATGTGCTGGTCACTGATTTTTTCAGTTTTGGTTCTCTCAGACAAACTACATAAGAGTGGATAGGTTCGTATTCAATACACAGCCTCAAACTCCAAAAAAATTCTCTACTATTTCAAAGATGACAGAATATATCCTTACGGGTTTGAATTGTCCGGGGGCGAGAAATAGTCACTTCTGTCAGTACACGTGGAACTACATGCGTCTCCTAGCGCAGCTCTTGCAGCAGTGTATGCAACAAACTCATAATTTGAGCTACTAACCAACGATACCACCCTGGCAGGAGGGGGGCGAAATAGTTGTTGCACGAGTTGTGTTGTATATATAAGCCTTCTCTTTGATCTGAGTAGTGAGCCATCCTCAAGTAAAGTCTCAAATTTCACCTGCGAGAACAATAGGCATTCAACAAACATTGTACAAAGAGACAAGCAAGAAAACATAAAATGAGGAAACTCACATTTTCAGGAAAACGATTAGTTGTTCTGGCCCAATCAACCTCAGCCTCACTGTTAAAATTATAGAAAGATTAATACAGTAATGGAAATGGAAGTTGAAAAAAGGAATACTAGTGCTCATAAGCCACACATACCCGAGAGTCTTAAGCCTCGAAGGACCCTGCATGACTTCTTTATTCCAAGATTGAAGTCCTGATGTATCGGTTTTGCGCTTCTTTGGTTTATCAACCTTCAGAACTTTGTCAGTTTCACCATGAGCCAATGAGTCAGAAGGAGTTTCCGCTCCTGGTATGGGGCCTGACATTCTCTGTATACTAAACTGCTTCGAAGACTGAACAGAATGCGAGCCATCAGCCGAACTCCCAACATTAGAAGATTGTTCACCTATCTTCAAAGGGGTGAATCTCCCCGTATCATTCACGGGTTGCACTATTCCGTTCTTGAAAGTTCCATATTGACTATACCATGATGGGGCCATCTGAGGACTGATTTGTTGATGATCTGCTCCAGCCGAGGCTGAATGATTCTTGTTGGAGAAACTCTGAGAAACATTTTGGCCAAAATGCACCATATTCTTTGCTGATTCCTTGTGATTGAATCCATCTCTAACTAAGCCATCAGATCTTGCAGGTGATTGTTGCTCCTCTTTGGAAGCAACCTTTTGAGGATCAACAGTAGCCTCAACTCTTTTAACAATCATCTTGGGTGCCTCATCTTCCCCACTTCCTGCCATATGCTCATCGTGACGGAAGCTATCCTTGGGAAAGTTATTTGAAGGAAGAGAACCACCAAAGGTTTGATGATTGCTCTGCATCATACTGGAGAACATTGACGCAGTATCAGGTGTTTGTTTTGCACCCATATCTTTACCCTGAAACGCATGCATATTCACGATGTCCCTCCCACTTAATGACACGTCTCCTCCATTTTGGGACGATAACTGATTTGTCTTCTCCTGCCCTGAAAAGCTGTCTTCTATGTTGTTGCTGGACAAAGGATGCGGCCGCAAAAAATCTGGCTGAGGCTTAGATGGCTGGTTCCAAAACCGATGTTGGGGAGCAGAAATACCAGCTCGTGAGTCAGACCTCGTACCAGAAGAGGAACTTTGCTGAGGCGAGCTCGATGCATTCGGAGGCTGAGGAACAGACAGCATAGGAAATCCTTCACCTGAATCTCTTGTGTTGTTGTGGGAAAATGTTTGTGCTGAATGTCCACGTTGATCAAAGTCACTGAAATCTCTTTCTTTCACTTGGGGGGCAAACAACTCAGAAGGTGAATTGACTAAATGGTTAGAAGCTGACTGTCGGGTAGCAACAGACATCAGTTGATTTTGGTGATACCCACTGGAATAAGGGAACCCCGAGGTAATGTTGCTTTCCTCTGGGACACCAGGCAATGGTCCTTGATATGTGGATTGCCGAGGAAAAGATTGATTACATGCGAACCTTGATTGACTTTTTCCTCCATTTTCAGGAACAGTATAAAGTGAATTCAAGGGCTTCACAGAATTCCGAGAAAGCTGCACGTTATCAGGAGTGGGAGCTCGTTGCGATGGAGGTGCCAGCTGTAGATTAAATCCCCGAGAAGAAGATGACTGACTATGCTGAAACTGACCAACATATTGTGTAGAGGGTGTTGCTTCAGGAATCCCAGACACATTTGTTTCCAACGAATGCTCCTGCGACTGGTCAACCTTGTGAAGAAGCTCGAGCCTGCACAGGTAACTTTTTCAGGAAGACCATTGCAAAGCAAAATTGCAAGAAATTAGGAAACACAAGCTAGTTGATGTCACAGTTAGCTATTACACCTCGACCAAATTTATGAGAGCATTATTTTAAAGGTGACAGTTGGGCAGCTCAGTAAGTTACTTGAAAAATTATCTATTTATATGTCACACTAACTACATAAATCCGTAAACGTGATCAAAAAGTGAATAGTTAAAAAATAATTAACAAAATCTTGTCCCCAAAGAATAAGTACCTTGGCGAAGCACTCTTCATTTGATTGTCAGCTGAAGCAGATGTAGAAGGTGAATTTTCTGAACCCATGCCTTTAAAAGCCTCATTTGTGCAATTCAAGTCGTTTTGTGTAACATGTCCCTACCAAAATGAAGCCAAAAGATGTTCAGTTGGATTCAGATTTCTAAAACGCCGCATAATGAAAAACCAACGGATAAAAGTTTACCCTGTCAATTTGCATGTTCATATGTGGCTGACCAAGAGTCTTTGCCCGCCCAAAATGAGAAAACATTTCTCGACCAGGGTCATCGGTGACATCAATATTACCCATGGGATGATACTGAAATTTGCGAGGTATAGACGGCTGAGCACCAACATGACCAGATTGTGTTTCTTTCCCACCAAGTAACATAGAAACATCAGGAGTTTTTACCATTTCATTCGATCCAGCATTATTACTTGCATATGACTCAAGAATCTGACTGCCGTCTCTAGATTGGAGTTGAGGGATAGTTTTTTCCACAGAACTATTATCTAGCTGCTGTTGGATATTTCCCCGGACATCCCTGGGAACGTTAGAAACATTTCCTGCACCAGCAGTGCCAATTCCGTAACCTGCCCTTTGCATTTGTAGATTTTGTGTGAAATGATTATTCTGTTCCTTCAGATCAACTACATTTGGTTTAGAAGCAGCAGCCTTCCAGATACCAAGTCTATCTTCATTGTCTTCATTCTTTCGAAGAGAAAACTGATTATTCAGCCCTTCAAAACTAGAACCTGTTGACTGAAAAATATTTCCAGCCATTTGAGTTCGTTGCGCCACTGGCCTCTCCAAACGGCCATGATCTGAAACTTGATTTCCTCTTTTATGCATGTGTTGAACAGCTGTCTGACTGGAATCACTGTGGACTCTCTCACTTAGTGTAATTGAAGAATTTGCAAGGGGAGCAGTATTGTTGTCAGCCCATACAGATTGCTGTTTACTGCCCCATTCGTGTACGCCTGCATCATCATTAGATGTTTCTGCTACAGCAGATTGCATAAGAGCACTCCAACTCCCACTTTGCAAAGAGGGGCACGCATCATGAAGGTCAGAATTGCTGGACAAGAGATTTCCTGTCAAGCTCATATCAGCGCTGCTTCCAAACGCCTCCCACAAATTGTCATCCGAACCAAACAAAATCTTTTCTTCAGTTGGATCCAGTGTTGTAGACTTCTGCAAAGCAGTTATATTTTCAGGCTCTTTCATATGTGACTTTTCTGATGGACCAGAACCTTCCATCCTACCAAATTTCTCCTGCACTGAATTGTTCCTCTCGCGGGAATCATCTTGCTGGAAACTTTGGGAGCTGGGCGGCCTGGAACCTGGAACTAGTGTATGGGAGAACAACATCTTCTCCTGGTACGTGGATGTAGGGACCATATGACTGTCACCTTGATTCAGAAATGAAGTTGGCTGATTGGTGAGTGCGGAATTCTTGTTTGCAGAACCATGCTGCGAAGCTAACCTGTTCATCTGAGCGGAAGAAAAGGGATTTTGAGGTGCATTTGCCCCACCAAGAGGCATACCATACAATGAAGGTTCAAATTGTTGTGCCAATAAGTTCGCCTGCCCGTGCTTAGGGGTACTCATGAACCCACTTGAAGAACCTTGATGCATCCAGTTGGCGTTTCCTGTTAGAATCTCAGGCTGCCAAGAATTACTAGACGCACTCTGAAGCGGGATGCCATTAATCAAAGGATATGATTGATTATCACTTGAGAGACTTCCATTAACAGCATTTGAATTCAAATAATTCAGCTGCCTGGTCTCTAGCTGTTGCTTTTGAAGTTGTTGTTGCATTTGATAATCATGCATTTGCTTAGCCATAGCTTGCTGCTTTAATAGCTGCATATCATTGAACGTCATCTGCTGCCTTGGAAAAGGCTGGAGCATGCCAGGGAGCTGGCTGTTTGATTGTTGTTGACCACCAAAGAAATCATAATTAACCGGAGATCCACCCATAGGACTTTTATGAAGGTCGGGAATGAATCCTCTCGCTGATAACTTATCCCTACTTGGTTCTGCATCCACTCCCAAAAAATTTGCCTCATTCGGCATTGCTTGCCCATGCATGTAACCATTCGTTGAGAAGTGCTGAGTCAAATTTAAACCATGCTGTGAATTAGAAGACTGGCCTCTCTCAGGATCACCTGGAGTAAACAAGAAAGCTACGTTTAAAAGCTAACAACTAGAGTACCATCCAACAGAATAAGCTAGAAGCTATGAAATATACATATAGAGCATAAGTTGCTGAATTCCCTGTCAAAAGGACACAAAATGCATACCAGATTGTTGTGTGCTATAACTCTTCAGATTGGAGACAAGCGATGGGTCTATCTGCCTCTGGCTCCCACCTAAACCATTACTAAAACCTGACCAGCTTCCGTCCACAGCCTGAGACTGGTGCTGATCCTCCTGCCCAAAGAAATTATGGATCCTCTCTCCAAACTCGTTTCCAGGCATAGATTCAGCTCTTAAGGTATATCTTTAAATATATATCTCCTTAGATCTAAAACAACCGTTCCTTCTGCAAACAAGAAACATAAGCGCGTCAAACAAACTCCCACCGAGCAAACTCCTCAATCCTGATTCATTTTCTAAAAAAAAAAAGTATCTACTGAGACCAGAAAGCAAGAGACTTTTGAACTCGAGAATTGAATGTGACGCAACCAAACCCTAATCAGCATTGTCTAAGGACCACCAAGCGGAGCTCTAAACACCAATCTACTTCACAAACTATTACACACTCAATAATATGCTTCTAATCTAGTAAACTTGAGAGCTCATTTACAGTCAATTTCATCAAGATCTTAACCAGACTAAGTCGCATTTCACCTCTACAGCTAAAAATCAAGCTAATTTCACAAAAGCTCCACGAAATCTCACGAAACCCAATCGAGAACAAAAACCACCGAAACACAAATTACACTACCAAATCGAAGCTCTAACTAGCACGAACATTACCCTAAACCGATAACTCAACATCAATCCAAACCCTCCAAGACGAGACTCTCCATGAATTGGGTTAAAAAAAAAAAAGCAGCTTCCTTTAAACTAAACAAAAATTAGGGTTTCCCACAACGAGAAGGAGAGATTGTATACACTTACACTTCTGCCACGTGTACAAAAGATGGAAGCTTGGAAAAATGCGTTCTCCTCCGAGCTCAATTTCTAAGAATACGTTAGGGTTTTCGAAAGCAGGGGAAGAGAGAGAGAGAGAGATAAGTGATCGAGAGCAGTACGAACGTTTTCAACGGCGGACGCTGGAGCAGTTCCGAGGCTTTAGGTTCGGGAAGAAAATAAAAGGAGGCTCGGGTCCGAACCAAATGTGCCTCGTAGAATCAAAACTCTCTAACCGAGATAGAGGGTTAAGATTAGAGTTGGTGTAGCGTGGGGGCGAGACAAAACGGCACCGTATTAACGCATTTTTCCTATTTGGCGCGTCGTTAAACTTCTGACTGGTCGAGAGGGTTTAAGATTATAGTTGGTGATTTGTGGGGGCCACGGAAAACGGCACCGTATTAATGTATTTTTCCTAGTTGGTGTAGGCCTGGGCGTTTTTATCCGAACCCGAAATACCTACCTAAACCCGAACCGGAAAAATCGAAACCAAATCCGAACCCTTATACAGAAATATCCGAATGAAACTTATGAGTTTAGTACTTTTCGAGTTTGGTTTGGTTATAATTCGAACCGAACCGAAATCCAAACTAGGATCCGAAGATATTCGAAATTAGCTAAATTTGTTAATATTTTTATATATGTTAAGCTGATTTAGACATTTTAGAGTATTCAAAATATTTTGTACTTTATTTTATATGTTATTTTGATAACTTTTCAAGTTAATTTAGATAGTTTAACTAATTTTTAATTAGATTTATAAATAACTTATATATTTTGAATAATAAATTTGTCAAATTATGAGGTTTAAAAAATAAATTTTTGGATGATTTTAAATATTTGGTTATATTCGATTCAAATCAAATCTGGAAGGAATCGAACCGAACCCGATCTAATAATTAGTAAATCTGAATGGAACTTCTCAGCTTAACACTGAAAATCTGAATCACCCATACCGATACCGATACCGATACCGAATGCCACAGCCCACAGGCTTAGTTGGCGCGTAGCTAAAACTTCTGACTAGTAGAGAGTGTTTAAAACAAGGCGCCAAAAAAAATGAGAGCGAGACATGAAAAGGCGGTGAAAACTTTTTTTTTTCAAAAACGGCGGGAATAACTAAACAAAAATCTAATAGGCTCCCGCGTGTTTATTTACCTTACAAAACCATTCCGCTTCCTTTTAATTTTTTACTCACACACATTTGCTCGATTTCGAGAAAAACTCAGAGATCGAGAGATATAGAGAGAGATGGAGAACTCAGTGACCCAAGATTGTATCGCCACCATTGATTCTTCCTCGGTTCAACCTCACATCGTCGTTCAAGTCGTGGATCTTAAACCTGTTGGAAGTCGATATACGTAAGTGTTTCTTATACCTTTTTTTTTTACTTTCACACAGTTGATTTGGTTTATAAATTAGGGTTTTGTTAGTCTCTCCCGTTTTTACTATTTGAGAATACAAAAGAATTAGGGTTTGTTTTAGATTAGATCTGTTAATGTTCGTAGCTCTGTGATTTTGAGTTTATTGAATCTATTGGTTTGATGAATATGTGATTTTTGTGTTGCTTTTAGGTTTAATGCTAATGATGGAAAGATGAAGATTAAAGCAATGTTACCTGCAACTTTAACATTTGAGATCATCTCTGGAAAAATCCAGAATCTTGGTCTCATTCGTCTCCTTGATTATACAGCCAACGATATTCCTGGCAAATCTGGAGAAAAGTAATATTCTTTACTAATTCTTTGATCAAAGAAACCAAAAAAAGTTGTTCAGTAAACATAACTAATCTTTTGTCTTGTCTTGTCTTGTCTTTTTCCTTCAGATATTTGCTTATAACCAAATGCGAGGCTGTTTCTCCTGCACTTGACTCAGAGATTAAATCTGAGACTAAAGCTTCTACAGGTATTATGTTGAAACCAAAGCAGGAGTTCTTTGCCAAATCAGCTTCTCAGATAGTCAATGAACAGAGAGGAAAGTAAGTAACTTTTTGTTTTTTTTTATATAACATTTATTAGCTTCTTACTACGTCAAGTTGTTATAATTAATGTTTTTTTTTCTGTGGTTTTTGCAGTGCTGCACCAGCTGCAAGAATGGCTATGACCAGGAGAGTGCATCCGCTTGTGTCCTTGAACCCTTACCATGGAAGTTGGACCATTAGAGTCCGTGTTACAAACAAAGGTGTCATGAGAACTTACAAAAATGCTAGGGGAGAAGGATGTGTCTTCAATGTGGAACTAACTGATGAGGAAGTAAGGCTGCTTTGATGAACTCTCTAGCTCTGATAATTTTCTTATACATTATGTGGTGACTGATTTTATTTTATTGATGGAAATATAGGGAACACAGATTCAGGCAACGATGTTTAACGCTGCTGCAAAGAAGTTTTATGACACATTCCAGAAGGGAAAGGTCTATTACATATCGAGGGGAACGCTTAAGCTTGCTAACAAGCAATTCAAGACAGTTCAGAACGATTATGAGATGACTCTGAATGAGTATTCAGAGGTTGAAGAGGCTGTGAGTGAAGAAATGTTTATCCCTGAAACAAAATTCAACTTTGTACCCATTGATGAGTTGGGTACATACGTAAACCAGAGGGAGCTAATTGGTAAGATTAAGAACCGTCTCTTGATATAGATTTCTCGTTGTTTTTGAATGATGGTTTAGGAATTATAATGATTTATATCATTTTCAGATGTTATTGGGGTTGTCCAAAGTGTTTCTCCTACGATGAGCATTAGAAGAAAGAGTGACGGTGAGATGATCCCAAAGAGGGATATAACTTTAGCTGATGAGACAAAGAAAACTGTTGTGGTGTCTCTTTGGAACGATCTAGCAACTGACTTAGGACAAGAACTTCTAGACATGGCTGATAAGTACCCTGTTATTGCGATCAAGTCTCTCAAAGTTGGAGATTTTCAAGGTAAATCTTAAATTTTCCTGTTGAGTGAAACTATACACTTTGTCAAATTGGTTGCTGATGGAAACCGATACTTGCAGGTGTTTCATTGTCCACTATCGGCAAAAGCGACGTGGTGGTAAATCCTGATATACCAGAAGCTGCAAAGTTGAAATCTTGGTATGATTCTGAAGGTAAAGAGACGTCTATGTCTGCTATTGGCTCTGGGATGAGCCCTTCTGCCAATAATGGATCAAGATCCATGTATTCCGACAGAGTTTGTCTTTCTCACTTCACGACCAACCCCTCTTTAGGCGAGGACAAGGTACTTCAAACACTTCCTACTTATTAAAATCTAAGGTTAAAGAAAAGTTGGTTTATGTGGTCTTGTGTTTGTATTGCAAGCTGTATTTTTCAGCACTAGAGCTTGCATAAGCTTCATCAAGCCAGATCAGGCCATGTGGTACCGTGGTTGCAAGACCTGTAACAAGAAAGTGACTGAAGCGATGGACTCTGGTTATTGGTGTGAAGGTTGTCAGAAAAAGGATGATGAATGCAGCTTAAGGTGAGATAATACTGACATTCATAAAATTTCAAGAATAGAGATTAGATCTTGTTTGCTTTAACTGTGTTGCTTTATTGTGTGATTAGGTATATAATGGCGGTGAAAGTCTCTGATTCAACTGGTGAAGCCTGGTTTTCTGCATTCAACGATGAAGCAGAAAAGATGATTGGATGCACAGCTGATGAACTCAATATGCTAAAATCAGAGGTAAGGAGACCCCAAAACCATATAAAAGGATTTAGAACATTCTTAACTCTTCAGGTTCTTGATCTCTAATGTGATGTTGCTTTGGTTTTCCTCAGGAAGGTGAAGGGAATGAGTTTCAGACAAAACTGAAAGAAGCTACGTGGTCATCTCATCTCTTCCGTGTTAGTGTTTCTCAACAAGAGTACAACAGTGAGAAGAGGCAGAGGATAACTGTAAGAGGTGTTGCTCCGGTTGATTTTGCTGCTGAAACAAGATTATTGCTCCAAGACATTTCCAAGAACAAGACATCTCAGTAATTTTAACCTTTAGCATGTTTTGTCTAGAGCTTTTGCTACACTAAAACTCCCAAGCTTTGTATTATAAGTTCTTCAGTCAGTTGGATTAGTTTTGTCATCAAAAATTGATTCAAGTGTAAGTGTTCCAACAATCATTTATTGAGGAACATGAAAAATTTCTAGATATCTACAAAATTTCACAATAGAAGAAAAGCTAGCTAAAGAAGGTAAAAGAGAAAGAGCCAAAGCCAATTGGAACCATCAACACAGATCTTGTCTATCCAGCAATCAACAATAAGCTTGTTGATAAGGTTCAAACACAATTTATTAATGGTTGTGCATGAGAAATAAACTCTTTAGCATATCATAAAAATCACAGACAGTGATGAAACACAAGAAACAAATATTCAACTGAGATATTTTCGTATCACATTGGTGAAATCAGAAACTAAACCATCCCTTCTATAGAGACACTGAAAACAAAAAAAAAACTAAGAGATGATTTCTTCAGACACCCATGAGATCCCCAAAGTTACGCATGAGGAAGACTCCTCCAGCAAACACCCCAAGTGCTCTCACAAGTCTCTGCACCAACAAGAGACACAACAACCAAAAAAACAAAAGAGCTTCGTGTCAGAGTTTATATGTAAACAAACAAAGTCAAAGCATCAACAGACCACAAATCAAATACCACAAAGGCATAGACTTGAGACTAATAAACCCTAAACCAACATTCACAATCGATGTAATACCAAAACAATTCAATCCAAGACATAGAAAAACACCATCATCTAGTCACAACACAACAATTCAGAATCAAAACAAAACTATACACAGATCCATAGAAAGAGAGTAAATCCAGAGACTTACCATGTTAGCAGCCCACTTTCTTTCATCGTGAACCTCAGAATGCCACAAAGCTTTCAACTGCTCCATCGAGATCACACTCTTCGCCATCGTTGCCTGCTTAAAAGATCGAAACTTTTGATCGAGAAATTAGTCGGTAGGTTCGGTTCACTTCAATGTATAACCTTTTTAAGGGTTTAGGGTTCTTTAAATTACGAAACTAACCTTCATTAATACTTAACTCTTTTTGGTAATAAGTGACATGGATTGATTCCATCCAGACAAAAGCGCGAGAAAGTTCTCCAACCATAATCGAACACGTGTCACAACACAATCTTTAACAATCTCATCTACAAAGACTACAACCTCTTGGTACTTCCTCCATTGAAGAAAAAAAGCTTATAGAGAGTTAGAGAGTTACAAAAATGGCGGCTAAGTTAATATGTTCCTCTTTAACAGTCCATTCCATGGCCAACAAGAAGCCTTCACCTTCTCCAGCCAAAACCAAAACCTCAAAGAAGGTAAAACACAATTCAAATTTTTTAAAATTTTTATAAATCTAATTGAACTTTATTTTGTTACACAGGGCACAACAAGTGGACAGGTGAAGCTACTAACAAGAGTAGAGCAACTCAAGCTTCTAACCAAAGCCGAAAAGGCAGGACTTTTATCCTTAGCCGAGAAATCAGGTTTCTCTCTATCCACCATAGAGCGTCTCGGATTGCTCACTAAAGCTGAGGAGTTCGGCGTTTTGTCCGCCGCTACTAACCCGGAAACGCCTGGAACGTTGTTCACTCTAAGCCTCGGTTTACTCCTTCTTGGACCGGTTTTCGTCTACTTGGTCCCTGAGGATTACTCTTGGCAAGTGGTGGTTCAGCTCGTGGTGGCACTTGTGTCTGTTCTTGGTGGCTCTGCTGCTTTCGCTGCTTCTGGTTTTGTCTCCAATTTGCAGAAATCTGATTAAACCCGGTTGTATTGATTTTTATTAAACCGGTTGGGTTTTTTTGTATCGGATTCACTTGTGTGTTTGATCTAGAATTGCTTCAAGTTCATTTCATGTAAATGGCTAAGCCCGTTATGAGGCCCAATAATAATTAAAATATCAATCTCTTTCGCCTAAACCAAACCGGTAGTAATTTATCTAAGAGGTTAAATCTCGGTTTAATGCTGAACCAATCCAGAATATCGGTATTTGATCTAAAATTGCTTTTGCAGAAATCTGATTAGACCCGGTTATTTCGATTTTTGTTAAACCGGTTCGGGTTTTGGTTATCGAATTTACTCATGTATTTGATCCAAATTGCTTCAAGCTCATTTCTTTTGTTTCAATGTAAATGGTTAAGCCCGTTATGAGGCCCACTAATAATTAAGCCCATGAATGTCAACCTCTTTCGCCTAAACCAAACCAGTAATCATTTATTTAAATCTCGGTTTAATGTCGAACCAATCTTGAATTTTAGAATCAAACCAACTCAAACCGGTTTCTTCTCCATTTTCACTTGAGCCAAAATCTGCGAAGCTCTCAGCTCTCATCATCAATGGCGACTTCTTCTCTTGTGCAAACCCTCAGGCGATACGTCAAGAAGCCATGGGAGATAACCGGACCTTGCGCACACCCGGAATATCTCGAATCTGTTCCGAAGGCAACGGAGTATCGGATCCGATGCCCCGCGACGATTGATCAGGAGGCGATCGTGCCTACTTCGGATCCCGAGACTGTTTACAACATCTTGTATCACTCGAGAGATCAGAGGCGTAACCGTCCGACGATCAGGCGTTATCTGATGAAGAAGGAGATGATGAATGAGAAGAAGACTTTCGAAGAGACGGATTTTCCTAGGGTTTACTTGACGACTACTGTTGACGAGGATGAGAACGCTCGTGGTGGAGGCTATGAGTAGATGAGTAAACAGGTGGCGAGTTTTGATTGATTGGTAAGGTGAATGAGATATTATTCGAAAAGTTGTGAGGTTTATGTTTGTTTTCTGATTCACTGAGTATTGTACAATGAGCTGGATATAGTGAAAGTTATGTTATTGTGAAGTATATAGATACTAGATAGATCTTAATGGCATTGTAACTTCGAATTCGATATGTATTCGTTGGGGGAGCTTTGGAGTATACATGGTTACTTACGGTTAAAGTTTCTTAATTGGCAAATGAGTGTTGATTTGTGTTAGGTTAGCATTTTGAATGTCTCTATAATTAGCTTGTGTTATATGGCTGAATGCATTCATTGGCTTCTAATTTTGTTTCGAAAGTTGTAGACTTTCTCTCTGTGAAGTTAGACTCCAAACATTTCGATAGAGAAGTTGTGAGGTGGAGAAAAAATATGATGACATCTGAGAGGAGATGTTTGAGTTTTTTTTTTTGTTCTGCGCGGTTAGCTGGAGTAGATTTAGAGGTCGGATTGGGTTGAAAATGATTGATATAGCGAATTGTGTCCTTAACGTTATGGTTGTTGTAGGGCTTTAGTTTCTTCAGAGAGCCTGACTTGTGATGTTGGTCTTAGCTAGATAATGAATTTTGTGAAACTCAGTTAGTTTAGAGCTGCGACATTGTAGATTACACGGAGTCTATCAGTATCAAGAAAAGGCAAGTTTGGAACTGTGAGTAACCCGGTTGAAATAGGTTTATCTAGCTGCTGGAGTTCTGACCAGTCTGATTGATAGTGTCTCTGATTTGTGCTTTAGCCTGCAGTATAATACTGCTGCAACAGTTTAAAATATTCATGTTTGGTTTCACCGTGTACAATTTTTACTGCCTAATAAACACAAGAAAATCTCCATCGGACAACACTTGATCTAAGTTTAAATGGGTAGCTGACAAAAAAAAATGGTTACTGTTATCTAAGTTTCCATTCTACAGTCTGTAACTTTTTTTTTCCTTTCTTTGTAGGTTTTTTGTAGTCTCCGTCTCTCTTCTGATGGGCCAAGGATTGCATGTGATGTTTCTCTAAAAATTCTCCCTGGTTTCCTTTTATCTAATAAGGTTTGTAGCTTTGTGGATACTACAAAAACACTTTATCTTTCTTCACAAGAACCAGATTGTCGTTCAGACATATTCCTTATGTTTTACGCATATCTATGATGATGATGATAAAGTCATGATTGTCTCAAGTCTTCAGTCGTATTAGAAATGGCTGCTTATGTAAATAATAACACAGAGAAACAGGTAGTAACCTCTGTGTTCTTACGGTCCCTTTTTCTAATTCATCAGCGACAGGAAAATCAAATAAAGAATCAAAAGGAAGAAGAAGCAGAGACTGTGAAAAAGCCAGAATGCCACCAAACTTTGTCTCAATTTATGCATGGATGTGCGTGTGTTTTATGACTATTACCCAAAAACAGACTGTTTCTTTGAACTGTTTTGCTTCTGCCTCTGGCAAGGATATGTCATTGTCTCTCTCTCGACATGTGCCTTTTGCATTTACTATTGTACAGACAGATAACGACGGCTCAGGATTAAAGAAAAATAACACTGTGTGTTTGCAATTTTGGTCCAAAACGTGTCTGTGATAATGCATTAGTCCTTTAGGTTTACTAAAGCGTTTCAGCCGCTCTCTCTGTGACCATCTGCACACAATGTGGTTTTGCAGCTGGTGAAAGTTAGAGAATATGAAAAATTCTTACGAAAATATAATTGTATCATTCGCCTGAAATTATATTCAAATGAAACTCTATTTAACTTTGAAGTATAAAAATAAATCATTCATTGATACAAGCATGTCGTCATTTGTTCCGAAAAAAGTATATTTACAGGAATCCTTATGAATTTGATATTTTGTGACTAACTTGGTGACGGACTGATAGTGTATATAATATATAAAATAAATGGTAGAAAGAATTAGCTAAAACTCTCATTGCCATGCATATAGTGGTCCATGAATCTCGTTGTGTATCAAGGCATATTATATAATACAAGATGCTTTTAACAAAAACCTACTCTCTTTCATTTGGTCCATCCTCTATCTAAGACCAGCCATTTTAGCTGTCAAAATCTAAATGCCTACTGTAGTATGTACGTCCACAAGCATGTATATCATTATAGAACTTAATTGGGATCACCTCATGAAGATAATTAAAGGATACTTACTGAATTGCCTCTGCTCCAAAAGTGTAAGTTGGTGGCTAGTAATTATTAACTATCTCTATAATATTATTTGAGAAGTCAGTTTCCTATGTGTCGCTCTCACATTCATTCTCATGATGGTTGATTACACTGATACCCTTAATGAATTAAAAATAATTAAAAAATAATATTATTAATTTTTTCGTTTAGTTTCCTTTTCAAAAATTTCCAAAAATATATGTAATAAAAAGGAAATTTTTTATAAAGTCATATAACAAATTCAAAAACGAAAATATATGTATATATTATGATTTCATAAAAAAAGGAAAGTTCACAAAATAGTAATAATACATTTAAAAATATTTTTAAATAACATAAAATATACTTTTAGAGTAATAAAAATAATTTATAATTAGTATTATTGATTTTTTATTTATTTTTCATATATTTAGTTGGCTATAATATCTTTCAATTACAGAAAATTATCTATAAATTATATCTTACTTATATAATTTTGTTTTCAAATACAATCACAATTTTATGTAATGCTTATTTTTAAGAGATATTAAAAACTAAAAGTAATTTTAACACTAAACATCGCTTGATCGAATAATTAACAATTAGTTTAATGAGCTAGATATATGATATTTTATCATTATGAAATTTTTTTTTTCTTAATAATAGATTTTCTTTTAAATTTTATGTTTTTATGTTTGTGAAACTAAATATAATGATAATCAAGATACCAAAGCAAATATGAATTCCCAATTTTAAAATCATTTAAAATAAATTTCATTTTTCATTCAATAAATCTAAAGCATAAAATTATTTAGAATTTATAAATATTTTATTTATTATAAATATTGATATATGTTCATGAACTTCCAAAAACGTATCAACTACTTATGCATGTAACCTTCTATTGATCATAGGATAGTTCAAAGCATATTAACAAATGAAAATAAATAATAACCAACTCTTACACTTTTAGTTCTTTTGTAAAATTTATATATATGCATAAGAATTTAGTATATTATTGTTATATTAATTTACGTATTTTGGAATCATACACTTTAGTTAATTTTTCTAAATTATATTTACATATCTAAGACAACACCCACTATATGAAAATAAGTAATTAATTAAAAATTAATATATTTTTAAAAATATTACATTTAAGTTCATAGATGCAATCCAATTTATCTAAATGATAATTAAATCAACCGTAAAAACTACAAAATCGACTAGATATAACATATATAAAATTATAATATAGTTAAAGTAATATAATATTATTAATATAAATGATGCATAGAAGTTATAAATTAATTTAAAATTAAAAATAACTAGCAATCAATTATATCATATATTTACTTTAAAAATATTTATACCCGTGCATGAGCACGGGAAAATCACCTAGTAAATAAATAGAATGAAAGACCAAGCATCTGTACTTAAATAAGTTTCCAGGTAAATGGTAACTAAATACATATAGAAGTAGATTAATATTTCAAGAATCTCAAACTCTAAATAATTGGATTATACATGTGTATGAACATATGTGAGCCAGTGGTGTGATTTAATCCTATTACTAGTAAACCATTCGTCTTTTGTTTCCGTCAACAATAAGAATGTCTATGTACACTACATAAAGTGATCCTTTTATGCCCTTGTTAATTTGTAAATTCATTTTACACCCACTAAAACCCTAGATAGAGACTGTAAAGTTATATATATAATATTTTATTTCTTTCTCAGCCTCAATCATGTATTGAACACTTCTACTTTAACTTTAAGTTGTTCATCATCTAGTTTCTTATCCTTTTCTTCAACTTCTATGTGACCAAAGAATTCACTCGATCTGCCTAACCCTAGCGGATTCAAGCTTACTAGGTTTCCACTGTAAGTTGTACCATCCTTTTTTCTTTTGCAATTAATTAAAGTTGGAGTCTATGAACCCTCTTTGGAATTTTCCAATTGCATCTATGTTGATTTGAATCACTTGGGATCTTCTTATGTCATATATAAGATAGCTAGCAAATTAAATTGTAAACTAAAAGCTTCTTTTTCTCACACTTTCTTGATTTTGATCCTTTTGTGTTTTGCTTACATTTTATTTCATGTGATTACAACCCTAAAATCTCAATATTGATTTATTCTGATGTTTTTTAGTTTTCAGATAACATACCAAAGATGGGAACCAACTCAATGGAAATAAAACAAGAAGGTAACATTCCTTATCAAATGACTTCTTTATCTTCGTTGAGGCAAAATCCAAGAATCGTGCGAGCCTCGAGAATACTAGGAGGCAAAGACAGACACAGCAAAGTGTTCACAGTTCGTGGTCTTCGAGACAGGAGGATAAGATTGTCAGCTACAACAGCTATTCAGCTCTACGACCTTCAAGAACGATTAGGGTTAAGTCAGCCTAGTAAAGTCATTGACTGGCTCTTACAAGCTGCTCAAAACGACGTCGCTATGCTTCCTCCTTTGCAATTCCCACCTAGTTTTCACCCTAATCTCACCTCCACCGGCACCGAAGAATCTTTTCCCGGAATCTTGGAAAATTTTGACCTTGGAAGCTCCTCATCAAGAAATGAAACGATCCAGAGAGAGAGTTTGAATCTTGAGAGAAGCAGTCTTAGTCATGGGTTTGACATTGATCATCATTTTTTCTCCAACTCAAGTCAAAGCAACAAAGTTAATTATTACAATAACAGCAGCAGTTCTTGTCATTACAACCTCGGACAACTACAACAGTCTTTCCTAGACCAATCTGGCAACGTTACTGTCTCATTATCCGGTAATAATCTCAATCCACCGGCTGTGGAAACTATGAGCTCTCTATTTCCGAGATACCCTTTGTTTCATGAGGGTGGTGATCAACTTCAACTGTTTAGCTCAAAGCAAAGAGAGAATAACGAGTGAGTCCAGCTGCTTGGCTTTTTAGACTCTTTCATGAGTTGATGTCTCGGATCATGTGACAGATGAATGGTGTATACTATATTTTATATAGAGAGAGATCATTTACATGGTTTTAATGGTGTTTTTATTGGAGTGAACGTATGTATAATATAGTATAGAGCTAGTCTTTTTAAGCATTATCCACATTAACTTCAGTTTGAGAAAATATATTAGTCATTTCTTGTTTTTGGTAATGTTTTGGAAATTATGTAAGTTTTTGTGTGAGAGAGAGCTACATTTCTTGTAGCGAGAATTATAAAATGTTTATGTTACTGTTAGATATATGTTTGAAGTGGCTAGACACATAACCTTGTTGCCTGCCGAAGCCTAGATTGTTTATATGTACACAAATACATATATATGAATACATCCATAAAAACTGAAGTAATTAATTTTTGTGTTAAGATAAAAAAAACTGTAATGCATGTTTTATATTTAGGGCTTAGATGAGGAGGCAGTTTATAGACAGCATGCAACTGGATCTGAATTCAAGCAGTGATCCCTATTTATCTTCTTTTGATATAGTACTCTTTTTCTTTTCTCTTTTGTCTCTTCTTTTATCATTTTCCATTAACTCTTTTGTCTCCCACACATACATGGTACACTGTTAAATAGTACCATGGTAAATTTGAGACAGAGACCTTTTGCTTTCCTGAGACAGTAAGTTTCATATATATGGCTTGTTTTCTTAAACATGCTTGATCGACTACAAGTTTACAATACCTTTAGTGGAATCATTGAATTTAAATTGGATATATTATCTAAGAAATTGAGTATAAAATGGTCCATATGGCTATAGACTTTACTTTTACAACCTTATTAGATGAGCAAAAAAGGAAAGAAGTCACACGTTATTTCATTTTCACATAATTCACCCACTTAACTTTGGCATGCAAATTATTTTCTTCTTCTTTCTCTTCCTTTTATTCCCCAACTTATCTTTCCTGTCCTGTTGCTATACTAACTTTACTTCTTCTCAAAGCATTTCCAATTGCATTAATTTGAAAATCCAGTTACGAAAAAAACATTACCAATTCAAATATATAAATTAAAGCAGTGTTTTGTTCTTTTATGTATAAAACAATCTTAAAATTTTACCAAGTTTACAAGTTCGAAACCACTTGCCAAAAACTAACTACTTATTTTAGAAACTTTTGACTATAGGTATACAAATGCACTCCCACTATTTAAACTGAATTCTGAAGCCTTTATAACGAACGAATGTTCACATCTCTTATATATTAATCCTGAAGCATTCATAAATGCACAACCTTGAAGATCATGCTTACGTGTCAAGTTCATAGAGCTTTTCAGCTTTAATTTTTTAATGGATCAGTTTTGCTAGGAATGAAATAATGTAACATTTAATTTCTTACATTTAGGACTATAACATATAGACATTTTTAAGGGACTAACTCTGCTAGGTAAAAAACAATATATTTTATTTCCTTAAATAAAAGCTACGGAATTACCTAATATGATTAACATATATATGTAATTAGTGATTATGAATAATACATATTTTTGTATCCTCTCTCTTTTTTGTTTAATTTTAAATTATTAAAATAAATTAAACAATCACATTTAAATATATAATAAAAATTTAATTTTTTTCTTATAGTTTATATTTTTAAATTTTTTAAACGACCATAAATAACTAAAAATAGTAAAATCCCACATTGAAAATTTTATGATCAATGGTTTAACTTTGTTTTTTTCTAAAGAAGATACAAATTATCATAAATCGTACGAATATGAAGTATCATTAGTAGATATTCATATTATAAATATGTTAATTTAAAAATTTCAGTGAAAAGGTTTGAGGTTAGTAGATACAAATTATAGTATACAAAAGATTTTTGTAGTTTGTTTTATTTGCTTCTTTTTTTAATATCTTTTAGTTTGTTTAGATAATTTAACTAATTTTAAATTAGATTTATTAATAGTTTAAATATTTTGATTTTTTTGTCAACTTTTAATGTTTAACAAATATTTTTTGGGATGGTTTCTGATATTGGTTACAATCCAATCCAAACTGAATTGAGAAGATCAAATCGAATCCAATCCGATAATTAGTAAAATTCAAATAGGATTTAATTGATAATAATACCAAAATTTGAAAATACGTGTCAATCAAACTAAAACCGACGAAGTCTCAAACGTCCAGACCTATAATGATTTAAGATACCAACATTGGCATTCATCATTTTATAATCGATAAATATTGTAGTATTGCAAAATGTTAAAAACCATTTAATGAATAAATATTAGTATGAAAATTTCACCCCGCGCATGCGCGCGGGTTATCATCTAGTATTTTACTAAACCTTAAGGTTACTTACGCTTCAATATATTGTTTTTTTTTCTGTTCACATACTTTACAACGTTGTTAATCATGATTAACGTTGTTAACAGGAAAAAACAATATATTCGTTAAATCATGAAAATGTTTTACTAATCCTTAAACAAAGCTGTAAATTTTTCATCATTTAAGCAAGAGATCGGGAAAAAGGAGCAGCATGTCGGAGAAATTTTGCATGACAGGATTTTGAATACGACGTAAAAAGCCAACGAGTAATTAATTCAAAGAAAAAAAATTAACAAGAAATTAGTTCAAAAAATATGGAGGTGCGGGGAATCGAACCCCGTGCCTCTCGCATGCGAAGCGAGCGCTCTACCATATGAGCTACACCCCCATTTTGATAACAATCGTCGTTGATATTTTCTGAAACATTAAAATAAAATCGAGAATATCCGCCGTTAGTTTCCCATGGGGTCCACGCATACAGAATGTTTGATCTGTCAATCGAATCTTCATATTCCTTTAGGTGTATCCGCGTCAATGCACATGCGTCGCATATGATAATTAACTGACTCAAATTACGTAAATACCCTTATATAAATAATTTTTCAGGCAACTAAAAGAAGCTTGTCTTGAGCTGGACAAGGACGACATGTCGGAAATATCCGTGTGTACATAAAACAAACCAAACCGGTTTTTAAAAAAAAAAAAAAATCTAAAATCCCTAAGATTACCGGATTGAGCCAGATCCGTTTCTCCTTCACTTTCCTCTCGATTCTGTTTCACTAAACTTTCTCAAAAGATCGACACTTTCCCGGCGTTTCCGGTTTAACATCTCGACACTCTCCGTCGCAGACCCACGACGTCTTGTTCTCTCGCCTTGGCACAATCAAATTCGTGTTCTTCTTTCGTTCTTTGTTGTAAAACCAAAACCAAACTTAAAGTCTATTGGTAACATACGATGAACGATCTTTTAAAGGTGAGATTTTGTTTCTTTTGCAATTGTTTATTCTTTCTCCTTCCTTATAGAGTTTATCGAAATTCGTATGGTTTGATGATACTTTTATAGTTTCACTCTTTAAGTAGAATCTGAATGGTTGTAGTGAGCTCTTTTATGTTAATATCTAACTCGAACTAGACTTGTAATGATCTGCCTTCTGCTTATTGGATGTAAATTTACTCATGTAGTCATGTGAGGTTATACTTTTGAGTGTTTTATGAAAGTAGATTATTGTGTTTTTAATTTTGCTTAATTTTGAATGGGGTTTTTGGTTGTTTGTTGTTTGGTTCTGTAGGGTTCGTTTGAGCTTCCACGAGGCCAATCTTCTAGAGAAGGGGATGTTGAATTAGGGGAACAACAAGGAGCAGATCAAGGTTTAGATGATTTCTTCAAAAAGGTTATCTAAGTGAAACAAAAGGCAGAGTTTACTTCTATCTGCTCTATCTAAGTGTTTTCATCTGTTTTTTTATTAGGTTCAAGATATTGACAAGCAATATGAAAAGCTAAATAAGCTTCTAAAGAAACTTCAGGTATATTAACCATTCAATTTTATTTGAGATAAGAAGGAGAACCTCCATTGCAGTTTGGCTACAATGTTTGTTGGCTTTCCTTCTTTAAAATGTATGATTCTGTAGCTTCTCATTAGTATTACCGTTTTTAAACTCTATAGGCTGCACATGAGGAGTCCAAGGCTGTGACCAAAGCTCCCGCCATGAAGGGTAAGCTTGTTTCTTTTGTATATCTTTTACTTCATTCTTCTTCTTCCAGAACTGTTACAAGACAATTATTGGTATGTTGATAGAAGCAAATAGGTTTCCATGATCACTAGTTTTTGTTTGTTTGTACTAGCATTGGATATGATGAACTTTCGCCTTAGTAAGTATTAGATGAATTGACTATTCATGTCTGAGAATTCTGGTTAGACAACATAGGATAGATCTTAACTTTGAAGAACCTTCAAGCAGCCACGCTTCCTGCTTTTCATCGGCTAAAAACTTTTGTATTAGAAATAGTGTTAATGCTTTGCCATAACCTTATATATAGTTTGGTGCTCTGTGTGTTGCTTTGTATTGTAATGAACAGCAATAAAGAAGAAAATGGAAAAAGACGTTGATGAAGTAGGAAGTATTGCTCGTTTCATAAAGGGGAAACTCGAGGAGCTGGACAGAGAGGTAGAAGAATCACTCAAATGTTGTTGAGTTGATCCGTTTCTTTATACTTAATCTTCATTCAAATGTTGTAGAACTTGGCAAATAGACAAAAACCTGGGTGCGGGAAAGGATCCGGTGTGGATCGATCAAGAACAGCAACTACACTGTGAGTACTCTTCTTTTCAGTTTGATAATTTATAGTAAAGCTCTTTGCTAAGAGGAACACTCCGCTGATATATCTACTGTGCAACAGTTCCTTGAAGAAGAAGTTAAAAGACAAGATGGCCGAGTTTCAAGTGAGTTATCAAGAAAAAGATGAAGTTTCAAAACTATATGGAAACTGTTATTTCCTCAAGTTAATACTGTGACTCGTTCTAGGTTCTAAGAGAGAACATCCAACAAGAGTATCGCGAGGTTGTTGACAGGCGTATTTTTACAGGTGTGTATTAGTGATGTTATGAGATTTCTTTACATGTCCTTCTTTATGTCTCCTTCTTATTGTTTCTGTGTGTTTTTCCTTGCATTAGTAACTGGACAGCGAGCGGATGAAGATGTAAGTAAAGTAGGGTCTTGATTTTATTATAAGTCTCAGAGGTTTGGACAAAAATTCATGCCTTGCCTGTTTTTTATTTCCAGACAATTGAT